TGGTCCATAATGATCGGAAGCACACAATTTCACAAAAGGTGAACTATTTTTGCAGACGATTCTTGTTGACAAAAATGGGAAACCCTCATTATTTGATTATGATTATGATTATGATATTGTTTTCCAACATCCGTCCACTGTGATGATTTTAGGAGGATCAGTTATGTGCGATGTTGTTTTAGATCTTCCTTTGAGAAGTGTTCTGATGATCTCTTTTCATTTTGTAAAACTGCAACAGCAATTTTTAAAGTCCAACGAAGGCAGAGCCTGTCCTGCGCGGGCAACAAAATACGAAACGCCTTCAGATCTCTCCTTATGCAATACGGACGACCATCGAGCATTTTTTATTTTATAATCCGTTCTGCGAGAAAATCGATGCCAAATACCTTAAGTTTTATTATGTAAGAAATTTTAACACGGACAAGTTGGTATACCTCATTTGCCGTGCAAAAGAAAAGCGTCGTATGAACCTTTCTCATGAACCGTCTTTGATGGAATGCGAATTTATTGGGAAAGTTGTAAATATTTTCTTCTAATTTTTCAGACAATATTGTTCGCAATTTAATATGAGCTATTTGAAAATGTTTAGGAAAAGACGCACAACTCTCCTCTAAAATAAATAGTTTATTGGGGGAAATTTTACAACGTTTAAATGTTCATCCAGCGTTTTTCTTCAGCACGGCTTGGTTGGTCCCGAAAAGTCTCGATACGTTTATGAATCAATTCACGAAAAGCCAACCGCACATGAATTCTAGCTAGAGCGCAATTCAGCTATGCATTCACGACTGCAAAAAAGTCGAAGGAAATCGACAAGCCCAGCGTGCATGGAGGCTATTTCCATTTTAATCTTCTGCCACATTCTTACGGCGCAATGATACAACTATTTGAACTCTCCGGAATGCGTGAGGTATCTACGTCGCATTTGAAGGCGTTTTCAAAACAGCCAAGTTCCGATACCCGGTTTATCGTTTTGCATAGTTCATATTATTTTGTTTTCATTTCTAACCACTTGTTTATTCTTAATCCTCGTATAAGAACCATCCATTTGCTAAATACAATTCTAGCTGGAGCGCAATTCAGCTTTGCAATCACCACTGCAAAAATGTCAAAGTAAATCGAAAAGGCCAGCGTGGATGAAGGCTATTTCAATTGTAATCTTCCGTCACATTCTTACGGCGCAATGATACACCTATTTGAACTCTCCGGAATGCGTGAGGTATCACGTCGCATTTGAAGGCGTTTTCAAAACAGCCAAGTTCCTATACCCGGACTTTCGTTTTGCATAGTTCATATTATTTTGTTATATTCCGTACCACTTGTTTATTTTTAATCCTCGTATAAAAACCACCCATTTGCTAAATACAATTACTGTCGATGGATGGTTATGTGATTCTAGATTAGTACTTGGGTACCACAAACATCGAAAAAAAAGGATGCTGACTTTACATTCTGAATGTAAAAAAGTGTTCGACAGCTCGCAAAACACTGAGTTAATCGCCACAGCAATTACTATAGCGATGTCAATATGTAAAGCTGACTGCCATGCCGGTTAACTCAGCGTTTTGTGAGTTGTCGCAGACTTTTTTACAACCAGAATTTTAAGTTGGCATTCTTTTTTCTCGGTGAATCTAAAGTTACTTTCTACTCGTTTCTAGAACCTCAGCTGAATAACTAGCATCTATACCCTCAATTTGCAGCCCAATGAAATTATGTGGACATTTCACACACACCTCAACGGAGGCCTCAACTTTTCTCATTCTTCCTGGCACGCTCACAGTTCTTCTCGAACCCAAGAGAAACAGTTGTTGTAGCGCCTCATATGAATATCAATTTCAGCCCCTCTCTATATGAGCTCCCGTCCTGAAATTAAAACCCGATTAAAATTCGCGAACGGAACCGCGAATTACGATTATCACCAATGGAAAAGGCTGATTGTGAGCCGAGAGGCCTCCGTTCTTGGTAGTCAAGACATGCTCTGCCCACCCGAACGGAAACGGCATTGCCAAATCGGACAATAGGTCATTATCCCTCCAGAAAAATATGACTCGAAATTTTCACTGTGCTCCGTTTTGAAAAGAAAAAGTATGCACTCGTGGGGGAGATCTTTCACCAATTTCATAAAGCTGACTTTCTAAGGTTACTAAAGAGCGTGTTCAGTCACCCCCTCTTCATGTCAACCCCCTTCACTCAACCCCCTCGTCGAAATTTTGAGCGTTCTAAACATTTCGACGGTAAAACTCCCAGACCACGTATCTCGGTTTGCGACGTTGCATACTTCAGCCGTGCCAAGGAAAAATGCCGTATGAGCCTTCAGGCGTTGCCAAATTTCCTCTGATAAAATGCGAATTTCTTCGGGAAATTGTAAATATGTTTCTTCCAATTTTTCAGACAATTTTGTACGCAATTTCATCGAAAATATCTGAAAATTTCAAGGAAAAATACGCATAAATTTCGTCAAAAATACATGTTTTATTCAGGGAAATTTGGCAACTCTCGAATGTTCATACGGCGTTCTTCCTTAGCACGGCAGACTTCCTATCTTACTTTATTTTTCATATGGGAAACTACTCAACGTCAATGTTTGAAAACTTCCGTGATTTTCCTTCTCTGTGGGAAGAAAATTCCCCCAAAAAATTACAGAATAATATTGATTCTTTCTCCCCACAGGAAGGTAAAATAATCGCGGAGCTTTTAAAACAAGGGATACAGGTTTGAGAGTTTTAACATCGATTTGGGGTCGAAAAATTAATGTTTGCACTACAAACCATAAGAAACCCTCAGACATCAGACCAGGTATGAATTAGGTAAAACACTAGGTAAGCAGCATGAGTTCTCATCATATGTTCACGAGAAAAATGGATCACACAACGAGAAGTATGGAAAATAACTTCTGTACGAGATATTGCAGTTGACACTACAGGAGTGCGTACCTCGTTTCAGGTGTTTCATAATAACCTCTTCCATTTTATTTTATCGACGAAAAACAAGACAATGATACAACTTGAAATTTTCATAGATCAATCTTCACACACCAGAGGAAAAAGCAGAGAAGTGTTCAAAAAATGTCTTGGAGTATTTTGTCTATCTAAAAAATAAAGTATGACATAATGTCTGGAGCGTTGCGAACCGAGGGACGCGTAAAAGGAACACAGTTGGCACTCGTCGGCAGTGCACAAGGGTACTCCTTCCATTTACAAGATAGGCAACACGAGCAGAAATACTGGTCGTATCAATTATCGATGATGAAGTTAGAACTACCTGCGTTCGAATATCTCCGATTATGTTTCATATTTTTAAAACATAAATAGAAGAACGCCGTATGAGCCTCCGGACGTTGCCATACGTCCTTCGATAAAAAGCGAATTTAGTGGGAAAATTGTGACTATTAATCACGGCAGTTTTTGAGAATTCGCCGAAAAAAAAAATGAAGTTGATTTAACGTTCTAAATGTAAAAAAGAAAAAGTGTGCGAGAACTCACGAAATGCTAAATTACCCGCTACAACAATTAGTTCTACATCTTGAGATTGCTTTAGTGACTTCTGTAGCGGTTAAAACAGTATTTTTAAACTCTCGCACACTTTTTTCACATTTAGAAATGTTAGATCAACTTCACTTTTTTATCGGTGTTGCCGTTGAGAGGTTTTTCATTTAAAAAATGAAGTATGACAGGAAGTCTGCAAACCGAGATGCGTGGTTGCGGATTTTTGCCGCGCCGTCGAAAACGCCCTGACTTACGAACTATACAAATGTCATTTCAACTCCTGCTGCAACAATTCGAGCTTCTCGGATGTCCGTGTTGCATACCCACGGAATCGAAGGCGTTGTGACTATCCAGGCACTCACGACTTCACCCTCACTCGCGACGCGACTTGGCGCCAACGGCGGGCTTTACTTTGAGGATTGAAAAAGGCAGGGCAAAGATAGTTAGTTAGTTAGTATATTTTAAGACATTTAGCGTCACAGGCTATTAACGTCTTTACAGAGAATTTTGGAGATGGGAGTATATACGAAAATTTAGATTTTTGAATTAAGAGAGGTGAAGAGTTTCAGAATTTTGGTAGTAACATTGGGTTCATCGCATGTAAGTGGGTTTGCATTTCTGTTGATTGTAGGGGAGTAGATCTGTGATTGGAGATATCTGAGGGCAGAGCGGTCAATAATTACGTGTCTGACGGTGAGAGGTGATAAATTACAGAAGTTACAGATGGGTTGATTTTCTTTGGAGATGATATGATTGTGACTGAAAAAAGTGTGGCCTATCCTGAGACGCGCAATTTGAACTTCACATGATCTTGTTTTGTGGTTAGATGTTCTTGGATATGGCATGGGGGCTCTACGGAGACGATTTTGTTCACTTGTGCTCCTCTCTTGTTCCCACGAGTTGTTGCAAGAATAGTTGTATACACGATTATAGGATATGGGTATCTATTATGCTTCAGTTTTGATATCATGATGCGCTGAGCATGATTTGTAGAGCAACTCTTCATTTCGGAGATGTCTTCCAAGTTTAGGTAAATGTAAAATGGTAGGCTCTCTGCCATTTACATAAGTACTCGCAGTGAAGCCCACCGCATGATAGAACGACCCTTCTAGAGAAAAACTATTCCAGAGATGAAATATTATACTAAAAATGCAAATTTTGATGTTAATTTTTCGCATTATATATTGCATAAGGTGATCTTTGAAAGAATTTTTACGAGAAAATTAATGGAGCTACTTCTGAAACCTTCACGTTCCACATTAACATCGATACGAATTTTTAATGTTTCCACAATTTGTCCAACTCCTCTCGTTGTCTTCATTGAGCGTCACATTGAGCGCCGCTGTTGAGACGAATAGTGTCTGAAGTCAAAACGCCTTCATTTTCGTGCGTATGCAACCCGAGCGTCCATGGAGCTCGAATAGTTGCATCCAGGCGTTATACGGAAATTCTTTTGGTGTCCCGTCACATGCCACTCAAATCAAAGCTTTAACGAAGACAAAGAAAAAGAAATAGATGTTAAGTATTTCAAAAGCAAGTTTTATTTTCAAATACAACAGAGTAAATTACACAAATTTCAAAGAGAAATCAGACAAGGAAAAACATTCAGTAATAATGGAAAAGAACAGAAAAAGTCAAATGAGACAGGAAGAATACTTTACTTCAGTCTTCTTCTCTATTATTTACCCACCCAGGATGATTTACTTAGGTAACTCTTTGAAACAGAGTTTTATTCAATTTAAACCATTTGCAAATTTGTTGTTGCAAAAGAGTAACTAATTCAAAAAATGTTAATCAAAACTGAGCACTATCTAGCAAAACTTCGGCGATTGTATGAAATAATAACAAACTCAAACTAAGTAATTATTTTAAGTGTTTAAAAATAAGTGTAGGGGTACTACTTATAAAATTTGTGGAGGCTAACTAAATTTCAGGAGTATTCAGGTGAATCAACATCGAAAATGTCTTAATCCGCATCTTCATGCGAATTTTTTCACAGTATGATTTATGCAGGCAAATAAACTACATGAGTATGTATTTTTCTTTCATGACATTCTCTAAGAATGGTCTCGTCAATATTTATTAAGATGAAGGATAACTAAAAAGAAATCGTGAGGAGGTACAAAATAATACTGCATTTGTCACTAAAAATAAAATTGGAAAAAACTATAGCTAAAAAGTAGGACTGAGTTTTTATCAGCCATAAGATTTGTTTGATACTAGTGGCATGCAGCAGGTAGTTTCAGGAATCATCTGTAACTATAAATTAGCTCACTGCATTCGAGAAGGAAATGGTAAACACAAATGGGGGTCCTTCAGCCTTCCATTATGCACCCAACAAGAACTATGCCACTGGGATACTATTTTTTACATTCATAAATAATAAATTAATTAATTAAAGAAAAACAGTGAAAAAGAAATAACATAGAAAAAGGAATAATAATGTCTAATAATACCTCCCTCTTCAAAAGAGATTCAAAGCTTCAATCAGAACTTTAAGGTAGAATCCACCAAATGAGGTAACAACAAAGTAGGTGGTTGACAATTCAAAATATCCGATACATACAGTGAACCTCAATTATCCAAACAGGGAATCGGCCCAGAATGGATGAATTGAAATTTATATATTCGAAAAATTAAAAATGAATAATGAATACTGACAAGTAGAAATCAAGTACTAACTAATCAGGTATGAATGAGAGGGCGGATTTAGGCATGAGCCACGATGGCTGCAGCCCAAGGTGGCAAAATTTGGGGGCAACGAATTTGCAGAGGTGAGGGGTTCTACTCAGTTTTGGTTGTCCTGCTGTGAAGTTGGCTCATACAAAATCAAACTCAAAAAGATTTCACTTTCAATACGTACCTAGTTCCTAGTAGCAAACTGGATACAAGACTCTCCTGAAAAAATGGCAGCAAAAGACAAACAGCTCATGAGCAGCTACTAGATAAATCCGCCCCTTTATAAATGAATGTACAATTACATATTAATTACATGATGCTGAACACTGCTGAAGTTGCAACTGCCAAATCAGCCCTTATAATCAACACTTAAATTAAATACTGATTTTATCTTAATTATCAGAGGTGCAAATGATTTGGGGGAAAAAAGGTTTGCCATGGATTGTACAGGACTAGATTCTAATGACAAAAAAGAGTATACAAAATGTATGTACTAAACAAAATGATCTCAGTTTTGCAATCAAGTCAGAAGAGAGGGTCTTGTAAAATATGATGAAGCAAGGGAATGGAAAAAGTAAAGAGATTGAAAAAATTAAGACCTAACTAGATAGATCCACGATAAAAATTGCAGAAGGTTTGAAAATTGGCAATACCTAAAATTGAAAAACAAAGTTTATGATAGTACTTTATCAGGAAATTCAGCTTTCTTTTCATTAGAATAGAGTTTACAGTCAATTTTAGGATAAATTAGTCGCAAATTACACAGCAAAATCCTGTGAATAGCTTCCAAAAAAATTTGAAAATCCTTGATGTCTCTAAAATTTTCATCATTTTGAAATTTTACCAGCATTTAGAGAAAAGAGGAAAATGACTATCACAGTACCCATGAAAAAAGAATAAATAATTTAAAATGTACGAAAAAACTGGGATGACAGTTCCAAAATAAGTTTGGTTGCAAAAACAGCTGAGCAGAGAAGATATATCTAGCTAGATACATTTTTTTTTTTTCTTTAATTTCAACACATTTACTGAAGATAATGTGCTTAAAGTATATCAATCAATTAATGATTGAATAATGAAATGACACCACCAAGCTCTTTACCACATGATTTCAATACCAACGCAAGTAAAATTTTCTTCATAGTTCAACTATTGAATAGAGTACAAGCTGTAAAGAACACAATTAGAAATATGGGCCCTCAGTCATTGTTTATCTAAAAAAGAGCATATTTTTGTAAAAAGAGAAAAACAAATTTTCAAAATTAGAAAGACAATGACTTAAAATGCACTTAACAGAGGTACCACTATTTTTAGAGCAAATTATGTCATTACCAGTTGTCTATTTATTTCATAAAAACCAGCTGATTGAGCTAGGGGTGGACTGGAACCAAGAAAGTAAACAGGAATTTCAGCCTGTCAGTGCTGAAACTAGCACATTGTAGTTTTTTTTTTTCTTTTTTTTTTGCTGTTTTCAGACAAACTGGTAAAAGTTACTTTGAGTATTGACTGGTCTATGAGGATTTTTCTTGGTGTTGCTCAGCTACAGCTCGCTCTTTCACACACTATGATTTTTAGGAGAAACTTATAACAATAAGAGTATAATCGGACATTCCCAAAAGAAAACAAAAGTACAAAAACAAAACAGAGTTAAAAACAATAAAACAGTAAAATAGTAATAAGCTTGGAGCTTTAATTAGGTATACTAAAAGTTACCTAGATTAATAGTACTAAATGATATATAAGTTCACAAAAACTAAAATATCAGAGGCTCTCGAGACAAAAAGAGCGATAAAGCTATTATGCAAGACACATCGACAATAGAACAAACCTGACTAGTTATCTAAGAGCCTGAACTTAAGCGAAAAAAAAGGTGAAAGGTAACCAAGACATGGAAAAACATTAATTTCCAAAAAACTCAATTTTTCTGACACCTCAATTAGTTTTGTTGTGACTTGATACAGAAAAAAAAAAAATAATAAATAAGTCATCGTTACGCCTACAAGAATTAAAAACAGCAAGGCTTCATATAATAAATTTCAGAGCTTGTGTTTCTCTGTGAAATAGCTTTGACTTACACCTATCTAAAATTCCACCTTAAACTTAATATGGGCCATCAGTTTCTTAATAAGTCGTTGGCATAAATTATAGTGCAGAGGCTTTCAATAGTATTCTACTTGAAATTTTGATGAGAATACAGAACTCGTAATACTCAAATTCACACCTTGTCTAGTGGTCCATTTAGTCAAAGTACCGATCAAATTCACCACTAAGAGGTAGACAATTTTTCTAACGATTCACAGTTATCGAGAATTCTTACGTAAAAAGCTATTTTAAAAAGGTGAGAATTCTTGATGAGTTTGATCAGCATCTAATAAAACACGTGCATTTACAGAGAGAGAAAAAAATATGCTAAAGATCTATATATGAATGATTTTGGAGACTTTGGCAGCATAAAGCTTTGGTTTGTTGTTCTTATTTACTGTTCATTGGTTTAGTCTAAAATGATAACAGGCAGGCACATACCAATAACTAAACTTTAAAAAAATTTAAGTGCAGTGTTTCAAAATCTCTACTCTTAATAAACTTTTTTGACAGGGAATGGCAAACTTGGCTTGAAATCTACAAAATGGTCCTGAACAAGAAAAACAAAGAAAAATCACAGAAATTTTTAAGAAATTATTATGTTGATTAGTTATTCAACATTATATAGAGAAGGAAGGGAAGCCGATAATCTCATAAACCAATGACTGCTGTTTCCTGGTTTAGCTATTGAATACTATGCCTTGTCGAGACTGTTAAAAGAGAAAGGATCACAATCACTAATTTCCTTTTCTTCTCAAGTTTAGAAATCTCTGTTTGAAATTCAGTAAACCCTTAAAATTTAAAGTTAGCAACATTGAATTACTGAACCACACTAATTTTATTTACATTTAGAATGAGAGAGTATCTCTGAAAAAATTTGATAAAATTTAAGGTGTTCATTTCACCTTGGTAAGTACATAGGTACCCAAATTCAAAATATTCATGAGCAAGGCTTAAACTATAACACAAACAGATACATAATTTGAAAACTACCTATAAAAACAAGGGAACTAAAAAGATCAGTATTTCGGTATAATCACATAATTTTGGTAACGATCAAAATCGTTAAAAAAGACAGAAAGAGAAACTTAGCTACCATTGAAGGAAGAGTATAAAAAAAAAGGACCAACAGGCCCTCAGTGGTAATCAAAAAGCAAATTTTGCTTTGAATCACAAAACTTTAAATTTGGTTTTAACCAAACGCCTAGAACCGACAATGAGTTTACGTCAGATCGGTAGCCCAGACTTTTAAAAAGCCTGAAAACTTCATCAAAAATCTTCTAGAAAAAATTAGCACCGTGAACTGCGTTGAACGCCAATGGAACGAACTAAATGGCTTCAGATTAACATTTTTCTTCTTACAAAAGATCCTTGCAGTAGCAAAATTTGCGTAAATTGTGCAAGGTGTTCTCGATACAACCATCCTGCTCACCATACTCATTGATACGGCTGATGTCTTCCATCTGAAACAGAACAGACTTGTTACTACCGGCGGGTTAGAAACTTTATTGAGTCAGTTTGGAGGAGACAACACAATGATGCATTGCGATCATGCATTAGATCATTCATCCTTACCTTCAACTTGTATGAGTTGCCATTCACATCGTAATTGACTGAAAACTCAAAAATTCCATCACCAGGGGAGGTTGTCACTTTAAGCTGGTACGTTTCCATTGTTACATGAACACTGTCAGACAGGTCTGGTACGAATCCGTCATTATCACGAGCACCTTTAAATTTCATTACACTTCTATTCGGCACCATTTTCGTTGCCCAATGAATCTGCTTAATAGTTAGTTTGGCACATAAATCAGTGAACTCGGCATTATACCTGAAAAAAGTAAAACTTTGTGAAAAAATAGAAATATAAGCAAACTTACAATTATACTCTCTCTACACGTGTAAGTTAGAAGCTGAATATGGCATGATAATCTGATCAAGCTTTTTCGACAGATTATCACACCTAATTCGAACACTTTAAGTGCCATACTTTTGGTAGGCATGTTGGTCATTGGTCAGGCAATTGTCAGGTTTGTTATTTGCATCATATTTTGGGTTGGTTATCTGAGGAGCTGGCTCATTAACACGGCCTTAGCTGCATTTTCCCTCAAAATTAGAGTAAAATAATTTGGAGACCAATAAAAAGAGAAACTTGTTTCTCACAACTCTTTATGTAGAGAGAATCATTTTCTATTACGTCACATCTCGCTGAGGAAAAAATTGTCACATTAAAAAACCAGGCACCTAGCATGAAAAACTAATTACTTAAAATATTCTTGAGAAAAGAGGGAGGGGAAGAAACAGAGAGAAAAATGAAGTTACAGGGCTCATGACAGAGCTCTTGAAAATTTATTGATGATTTGGTTCTTGATTTTTTTATGTTAGTTTTTAGAGATAAGTCGATGCAATGCTTTAAAAGAACTTATCAATGGCAAATCAACTTTCTTTGAAAAGTGATTATACGAAGACACTGATATAATATGAAAATTCTAATTCAAATTTACAAACAGACTCACGAATTCACATGTTTAACGAAGAGCTCGCCGATGTTCTTCACAACATAGCTGCTTACACTTAACCTTTCCCAGTCAAGACAGGCACACCAATGGGGCTCGATGAAAGCATCCCTGCATGTTCGCTCTGGAGGGATCTTGAAAAAAAATAAGAAGGATAAAAAATAGGAGTTAAACTTCAGGGGATGAAGAAAGATTCTTGCTCCCAAATCGATTTCAATTAAGCGATTATAAAATTTCCAGAGCTCCACATCAACGACTTCCAAATTTCTCACTTGCTTATATGCCCTACACAAGGGAGGACCCAAAATAATAAGGATATTTCTGTAACTTGGCAACAGCGCATACTTTTGAGCTTGATTAAAAGATTTGGGGAGAGGGTAGAGCAAAACTTGGGGGTCAAAGTTGAAACTTTACAATGGCATATCTTGTGAGCCGTTGTCATAGAGATGATCGTAAAAGCGGAGGTCATGTACTCAGGATCCAACCTAAATTTTGATCAGAGTGTGATCTAAAGTCTCTTCATGCTAAACTTCGGATCTCTGAGCAGGAAAGGCACAAAAATAGTAGAAAAACTGGCAAATGAAAACTATCAATTTTAAATATCAACAAGTTGTTCCTAAAGTGAATTAATGAGAGTGGAAACATACTAACGCGGAAAAAAAAATGTTCAGGAGACAAAGAATATCCGCAGTAGGTAAAGAAGTTGGTCCAAAGAAAGCTTTAGTGTGCCAAAGGACAATTACTTTAGGACACTAAACTTCCAAGTTATGCGCCATCTTCAATGGCTTTTACGGAAATTAAGCATCTTTGCTGAAATTTGGGCCTTTTTAAGTTTCCTGGTTGGTGGGTTTTCATTCTCATAGATTCCATTATATTATGTTCCGATTTTTCAACATTTAAGATTTTGGGTAAAGACTTAACCTTTAATAAATCTTACAAAAGCGGACCATACCAATTGATTGTGAAGGAGGTTGGTCTGAGCTTCGAAGTTTATCTTGGAGAAAGGAGATGGAGTGGAGTTATGATTTTTCAAACGTTACATGTATACTATAAAGAAAGGGACAGTTTTCAATTCTTTGCAAGCACTGAATAATTACCTTCTTGAAAAGTGATATACCCCTGTTGCTGATATTTCCAGGACCATCTCCGGTAAAGTGGAGCACATCTCTAAGAGTTGCATGAATATCAAATGGAGACGTCAGACTGTGAACGTTATACCGGAAATTTTTAATTGCTTCTGGATACATTTTTTCAAACCATGGCGGAAAAATAAAGGAGAAAAATGGAAGTCGTTCTTCAAGTTTCCCTTGCTGAGTATTTCTTGTCTCTGCAAACCTATAAAAATCAAAAAGATAATATTTTTGAAGAAATAGAGGGAGGAATGACATTCAAATTAAAGAAAATTCAATCTAAAATACTGAAAAATAATAATTTATAAAAAAAGACACTTTTTGGTCGTCTTTTCTTAAAAAAACTTCTGATTGAGTAAGAGATAAGTTCAAAATTTGGGACGCTCCAAACTTTTTACAGGCAATTTGAAAATTTAATTTTTCTGCTACACACACTTCACTTGCAGGTATAAAATCATGCTCCAAAGCATATAAGGATGTTTAAATGAATATACTGTAGGTCATGAGGTGAGGCTTTGTAAAGTTATGAGGCAGCGTAATGTTGTAATAAACAAGTCTTTTTGAGTTGAGAAAGATCAATTGCATTACCCTGGTGATCTTGGCAATATCTAGAGAGGGATTGAGTATTGTTGAAATTACTCAGGCCTTATTGGGTAATGCTGAAAAATAGATTGCAAATTAATTCTTTTTGGATGAATTGTGTGTACAGTAATAAGGGTTTTTGAGTTTTTAGCATTAAATTTAAAAACATGAAAACAGTGGACGTGCTGGTTAGAAAGTAGAACCACATTTGAGCTGAGTAATGAAAAACTGAATTTTGACTTGAACGAAATTTATAAAAATGAATTTTGACTTATAAAAACATAAATTTTAACTTGGAGGATGATAGTCAAAACCTGTCAAAAATCGTTAACACTATGAGCCATTGAGGAACAAATTTAAGGAAGTGCACTGTCCAACAAGTGAGCTTCAACGTTACCCTTAAGCTGTTACATAATTTAACTTTTTTTTTCCATTTCATACTTTCTCCTCGTTTAATGTCAACATTACCTGTCCATACTACATTCGTCATGACACATCAACGGTGTAACTGCAGGAATATGAATCTCCTTTGCAGTGTTCAAAAACTCTGCTCCTATTTTCATTTGCTACACAAGAACAAATCAAAGCTATTGCTTGAAAGTTCCATTTTTAATTCTTTGCATAGAGAAGATTGACCAAAAAGATATCAAAATGACTTGGGACACTTTTTTATTTGAAACATAAAATATGATAAAGAGTCTGCAACATTGCAAAAAGAGCTAAGCATTCCTTCAGTTTCATCATTGATACATTATCTAAATTGGACGTATTTCTATCAAACGGAACTATGTGCATTAAGATGTGAGCCCTGTGACCCATAAGAATATATGCGTAACAGGGCTCACATCATAATGCACACAGTTCCATGTGGCAGAATTACGTCCAATTGAAGTATCTAGAGCATAAACTTGCTAAGTGACATTTTCATGATGCCAAGAGAAACAGGTTAGCAGTTGAAAATTACACAGGATTTTGACCTTACAGCCTGAAAAAAACTAAAAGTATTTAAAAACTTGAAATTGAGTTGAGGTCATTTAATCATTTTTACATTAAACACTTTGAGATTCAATTTTGGAAATTAGCTCCTTACACAATACTTAGTATTGTGTAATCTTTTTTTCAAAAATATTGCTTACAAACCTCAGATCCTTTAATAATATTCTATTACTAAATATAGGTACTTATATATTTTATAAAACATACTTAGAAATATTTCTTCAACAAACCTTGGTCCATGGTCACTCATGACGATTAGGAGAGTGTTATTCAAATAATTACCGTCTTCAAACCATCTTAACCAATCTACGAAGTCGTCATCAATCGCTTGGACGAGGTTATAGGAATCATGAGAAATTTCGCCAAGAAAACTGAACACAAATTTTGGTTTGTCGCGGTAAACTTGGAAAACGTTCCTGGGGAAATCCATGAGGAGCTGGGCAAAGAGAAAAAGAAAAATTCAATGAAAAGTTTTCTAGTTGCGAAGTTGCGAAGTTTCAACTCTGTTGATTTTTTAAAAAAATCTTAAAGGAAGGAGTGCTATTAAAAAAAAGCGACAAGAAAATTTCCACTCAAAAGCTTTCAAGGAACTCTTTGAATGCGATAGTGAAAAAAAGAGTATTCCTGAGCACCAAGAGTAAGGTTTCTCTTCAAAGGATCTGGTAATGGTTACTTGCGTTGGCTAAGCTCAAAAACCTCAGATTGCATCTTCGTAACCTTTTCTCATGTTTTATTATTTTGGGGGAAAACTAATCAAGAGTTTTTATTAAAATTTCCTAAGAATTTTATCCACTCACTCTATGTAAAAAATCACAGAAAGTTGCAAGGAAAACTTTTGATTCATTTTCCTTACAGAAAATAAAACATGATGGGAGATTTTTAAACAATGAAATTGAGATGCACATTTTTCGCATCTGACCATCAATATCTAGTGGGATTTTCTCATTTTTTTTATGATAACCAAATATTTCCTGTAGTCTAATCCTCAAATAGTAACAGCAACTATAATGGTGGATCTGATTTTTTGAGGCCCAGGAGGAGTTGATTTCAAAATCAGAAAGATCTTGAAACACNNNNAAAAAAAAAAAAAAAAAAAAAGGAGAAGGTAAGATGATCAAAATAAGAGGCTCTAAGATGCCATGCTAAGGAAGACTGTTGCATCAGACGTTGCCAAATTTCCTTTGAAAAATATGTATTTTTAGAAAAATCAGTGAATATTTGTCATTGAATTTTCAGGAAATTTTATTCCCGATTAGATCCAAATTATCTGAAAATTTTAAAAGAAAATATTCATTACTCTTCTTCGAAATAAAGATTTTATTGGAGGAAATTTGGCATATCTCAAATGTTCATGCCGCTTATTTTCTTAGTACGACAGAGAGGTGCTTCAACTCAGTTCAGAACAAAAGGCTCCGCATTTTCGACAACAGTGCAACTTCTCAAAATGTTAACAGACATAAAATTGCTTAAAAATGTATTTTATGACCCAATTTTTTCGAGACTGGCACAAAAAAAGTTTGCAAAGAAAATTTTAACAGTTCGCTGTGGTCTGGAGGTTGTAAGAAACATAGGGTAGGTGGGGGTAAGAGTACGCACGGGGCAAAAGTACGCACCGCACTTTTTTCGCGCGTTTTGTTTGAATTTGTGATGACACCGGGTGTTGGTTGTTGGCAACGTTGAGTTTCACTTGTTCACGATATTTTGTGCAGATCGGACGTGTTTCAACGGTATTATGAGGAAAGTTCACTTTTCATGAAAAAAAGATCGATTTTTTTTTAAAATTAAATTTTCTGTTGTGAGTAGAATACTTGATGGAAAAAATCGGACAAGCACTATATCAAAGTGTTTTAGTGTTGGCTTTAATAATCCGTGGTTGTTTTCACACCTCGGGCCTTGGGCTCGAAGTTTTAGGTTATGTTGTCCAATGTTTACAAATGGGGCAAGAGTACGCAGCCAGAATGGGGCAAAAGTACGCGCCCAAAAATGGGGCGTTATGGGGGAGGGGGGTATAGGAACTTCAAAATAGAAGATGTAGGCAACTTAGTAAGTATCTTAATAAATTTTTATGTTCCTTTGTTTAGTTTGGGCAATTAAACTTTTTTATTTTCCTGTTTAAAAAAAATTTACTTCGAAAATTTTTTGGGAGCTTTTGGAGACTGAATTATTTTTTTTTTTTCACAGTAAAAGTGGTTAGGCACTATCAGAACTCTTTGCGACCAGTTTCAGTCGTTTTCCGTTATTTATCAGCGATTTTGAGCCCGGGAGACGTTTTTTTAAAAAAAATTTAACATGCGTACTTTTACCCCATGAAATGGGGCAAAAGTACGCATTTTCAAATTTTTTTAAGAAATTCGTCACGGCCATGGATTTTATTTCTAAATTCGGACAACGCAGGGAATTTGTGCGCGAGGGCTTGTAGTAGATGCCTGGCCACTTTTCCCTCCTTAAAAGTCGATTCGGTCACGAAAATACGGAAAAAACGAAAAAATGCGTACTTTTACCCCCACCTACCCTAGTATCAAAAAATGTCACATTCAGCCACCACCAAACTTGGTTTGTGTGCAATGTCCTATACTGATAGCTTTAGAACATGACTGGATTTATATACAAGATTATGAGAAATATCATTCAATATTGAATTAAATCTTTGCGAAATACAAAAAGATAACTTCACTCACTAGTGACATATCCACTTTTTTGAAAATCCTTCCAAATAAAAGGATAAACATCCACATGACTAGCTTTTGACCCCATTCTCTTGCGTGTATCTGGAAGCTGGAGCTCTGTTTTACCTGCAAAAAGTACGATCAAATTAATAAAACTATCCATTTTTGAAGCATATTTAACATCAACCGAGCAAGTCAAAATACTATGAGAACACAATTTTTCCAAAAATGTTATTAATGATTCTTCCCTTGTAGACTTGAGAGGATATTACATACCTTACGAAACAATCTTTTACACCTTTTTTGGGAACAATTAGTTTGAAATATTTGCTATTTTGAAAATACTTTCCACTTAAGTCTGCTGCTATTAAGTTCTATGTGTTCTGTCAATTCATACTTGGATCAGCTTGGTTTTAAAACTTTTTCACTCTCTGTAATCTTTTGAAACCGTCTTCTTGAAGGGAAGAAAGAAGAAAAAAAAAAAAAACTGAATTGGGATCAATTCTTCATTCTTCTTCAAACAATGTGTACAACACTAAAAATCAGTACTCACCAGTTAAGATAGGGATCAAAGCTTGCGGTGTTCCATCTCCAATAATGTTGTAACCTTCCAGGATAATCGCTCCCATTTTCTTTAATTTGTCATAGGTCTTCGGTAATTTGCGTATCATTTTTAACCTTGACATGGAATCAGCTCCCATGATCATAACATTCAATTTAAGCCCATCGACTGGCACATGTTCCCATCCAATTCTATCCAGTATGTCCTGATCATGACGAACACCCATCAAAAAACTGGACCATCTGCATTAAAATAATAGCCAATCAATAAAATAATACATATTTCACGGTTAGACATTCATAAGCTTTCTTAGTTTGTCATATGTTTCTAGCTGCTCCTTTGTTGTCTGTTTCACTATCTTAATCCCAACTGATTTTTAAAGAAATATCTTGAAATAGAGAAAATATAATAAAGTAAAATTAGTGGATCTAGTTTTATTAAAGTACCTAGAGAAAATATAAAACCTCATTCACTCAAGTTTTCCACAGATAAAAATAACCCAAGAATGAAATGGCAATCATTGCTTAGTGTGGCATATTTAATGGCAATCTTTAAACAGCAATCAGGTCTTATTGATGACTATACAGGATGATGTTAAAGTCCCGCAACACCAGAATCAGGAATCACTCCTGTAACTTTTGAAAAATTTTAGATAAAGACCTAAAATTTTATAGGAGTTCTTAGATCAAAGAAAACTATTTTTGCCCCCCCCCCCTCCTTCCACCCAAAATTTAAAGGGGGTCATCCACGAAAGAGGCAGAAGCTACACAGGGTCTAAGGGTAGTGCAGAACTCTTGGGTTCCTCTCTGTACATTATTAAACTTACGATGCAGCATCTTGCGCTTCACAATCTGCTCGAACAAAGTCACTCCCTGCAAAATTGTGCTCAGTCCTTGTTTTTGTACTCCAACCAGCAAAGACAGAATCATCAGATTTTCTTAAAATATCTGCAAAAAGAAAAATTAAAGTCTCAATTCCATTGACCAGTTTTATTTAAAACATATTTGAGATGCATTTCAGCAAAATTATGAAGTTGTATCATTTATTGAAACAAGGACTTTCTCCCGAGTTAGAAGGCTGCGCTTTGCTAGTAAAGGGCCGATCTAAAAATCGTATAAACTAGCAGTTGTCTTTCTGATTGGAAGTAACTGTTATTAAGCCTAGCAGCACATCTCTAGGGGGCAAATGTTTGTATGTTTTGACTTTCCCTGCTAGATGAGTAATTTTCTGAATAATGGACCACTAGACAAGGTACGAATTTCAGCATTCTGATACATACTTCTTAACCAAAATTTCACGCAAAACACGATGCGCACAACGAAAATTTCCGAAATCAACTCCTCACGAAGATATTCAATAATTCTTGATGCGTGAATTCAAACCACCCGCTCATGAAAACTCAATGCTCTACGTGATTCACATCGCGCGCTAAACGTTTATAATGACGGTCTCTGCGATATAAAAATATGGCTACCTCAATCTTGACGCTTTGGCTCAGCTATAATAAATCGCTTATAGTTTGAACAACACATGGTGGGAAATGAACGTTGCTCGATTGAGAAGATTGCTGAAACCTTTGTAGTGCACGATTTGACTCACGTAGAGCTTTGAGTTTCTTGTAAGCGGGCATTTCAAATTCATTGTAACCAATGTGAAATAAAAACGTTAATATCTTCCTTAGGAGTTGATTTCAGTAATTTTCGGAGCGCAAATCGTGTTCTACATGAAATTCTAGCAAAGAAACATGTATTAGAATGCTTAAATTCGTACCTTGTCTAGTACCCCATTCAGAAATTAGGCACTACATTAACTCAGTTAAGAGATTTTCAGTAATAAACTCCATAGCACAGTCAACTTCTTCCAAGTCAAGTGTTCTTTAAGTGAAATTTTCCTCTAAGTCAAACTTTCTTAAGGTCCCATCGAATTTTTTATGCGAACAAAAAGCCCTCTAAGTGGAATTTCTCTCTAATTGGAACTGATGATCTGGCTCCGATGCAGTTTGACTTAGAGGGAGATAACTGTTTAACTCCAAGAAAATGTATGTGCCATCAAGAGCCTTATGTCTTCCGATACAAGCAATAAAAAAAAATCATACTAAAGGCCTATCAGTAAGTTAAACAAACACAGTCTAACTAATAATTTAAAATAAAATGCATAGAATGCTTACCAGTGAATAAACACAAGATGTCACCATGCTTTTCTTTTGCTTCATCTGTTATTCGAGCAATACTTCCATTTACTTCTACCCAGTCTTTTTCTGGCCCACAGTCTATCGGAGGCTGGTATTTCATGTACTTCATCATTTCTGGATTGTCCACATCCAAAATTGGGTGCTGGCATTTTAATGCCTGCCCGTCGTACCTGGAGAAAAAAAATAGAGTTCACAAAATTGTTTGAAGGAACATCACAACATCCGAATCATTTATACTTCGTTTACTTTAATCTCAACTGTGCATTACTTTAAGCTTTTTCAAGTCATTAAAACCATAAAAGTGAAATCAAGCGAATGACAAGACAACAACGATTTGGGAAAGAGATCAGTCAAGAATTTTGCACACAGGCTTTTCCTCTTGAGGCATCGTTTCTTTTTGTGTAAATAATTTTAAGTTTTCTCTCCAGTACTTAGAGTCAATACCAAGCAGCTTAATATAATAATTAACAAGATCGTAATGTGTGCCAAGAGCCGAACGTGACAGACTCAATAGAGATTATTTCATTTTAATAAGCCATCAATGAAGGAAACAGAATTGATAAGTATAAGCAGCCTATTTAAAAACAATATTTTTATTTAGAAATGAGCGTTGATGAATCTCGTCTCCTCTGTAACTTTCGATCAACCATCAAATTTCTTGATCTATGAAGTTGAGTATTTATTTAAACAGAGAGAAGCACTTACCTAAACAGTATTCTGTTGAAAACTGGTCAAATTAGAGCAAAAATTCATTGGGGCGGGGGGGGGGGCAATTTTCTATTTAAAATCTTCATACAAGCTGGGGTTAAATGATGTAGACTAAGTCTTAATGAGAAATTTGTACCCTTAGTATGGACAGCAGTGAAATTTTTAAAATGATGCTGTTACGTTTCATTATATATGATTGATTCCCAAAAAAGGTGTATGTCTATAGATTGAGAAAAATGAATGACAATAAATTCTTAAAAAGGTGCTTAAAAATTTCGATTTTTTGCCCAAAAAAACGAACCAAAAAATTAAATGAACTATAGAATTGAGATACTGATTACAAAAAATCAAAATTAATGTAAATAATATTAGTAAGCCATAATGCTGAGCGGATAATTGTGTTACAGATGATAGAGGAAGTAGGTAATGCATAGATAGAGAAATAGGTAGAGAGAGAAAAAACATGAGAGGGACCGACTTTATTTATCATAAAATTAGTATAGAAATAACAATGGGTTTAACAGATAATAGAGAACACGGTCAGGAATCAATGATAAAAGATGTGTTAAAAATTTTTCCATCGAAAAAAAATTGGGAGACTAGTAAAAATTTGATAAGTTAAAAAGGGGGCAGGGTATACTACGAACTGTTAATTTTTGTTGTATATCTTTCAAGAAGAGTTAGAAAAAATGTACAAACAGTATGAAAGCATGAAGCAATATCAAATGATAAAAAATTCTAACAGTACTTTATAATTACAAATTTGTCCCTCAAGTATCTTAAAAAAGTAATTAGGTACTCGTACATCAAACTTCCAAGAGTTGTGAAATATTTTTGGCACAAACACTTTTTTTTTCTTTTTTTTAAATTACACATGAAAAAAATTATACCTCACATTTAAAATTTTTAAAATAGCCATACGTAACAGGTTCAGGCCTAAAAATGAATCGCACTTCTCCTACAGAAAAGAAGAAGCCCCTAGACAGAGTGGCAATAGATACAGGTTTTGCGCTATCAATGGATGAGCTATCAAGACAGAGGTTGTGGGCCGATGATTCCAATTATGTTGGAGCATTGATCTAATAATGTCACACAATGCATCTCCATAAATTGGACAGGTAATAGGCTCTTTAAATTGACCACTCATTATAGCTGACATCAAATCTGCTATGTTACTTGCATCGAATGGATGTTTGAGTGTCACAAGGTTGTATAAAACACAGCCCATGGACCATATATCGCTCTGATGATAGTAATGTCCATGACACGTTTCTGGAGGCATATACTCTGGCGTGCCAAAAGCTGACGTTGTAAAAGAATTTGACAGAATTTTTGAAATTCCAAAATCACTTAATTTCAGAATCGAGCCATTTGCTCCACACAACAATATATTCTGTGGTTTGATGTCCCTATGCAGAATATTTTGAGAATGTAGGTAATTCACAGCCATTAGAAGCTGGCAGAACCAGTGAAGCACCTCATCAGAGGAGAGGAGCGTTTTCTGTTTTGCTAGGTACTCATTCAGATTTCCATGGGGAGCGTGCTCCATTACGATGTTGAGGGTATCTGCTGCAATGAAATGTGAATAGAATGCGATGATGTTTGGATGCTTAAGATTGGCTAAAACATTAACTTCATTTGCCACAGCATCTGTATTTATTTTGCAGTCTTTTTCAAACTGGATTTGTTTTATTACGACATGGCGACCACTTTGATGTTGATGCAGGCTTACAAAACCAAAAGCACCTCTTCCTACATCTGAAATTTTTTTCCACCCTTCTGCCGATGAGAACATTTTTTAGGATTACACTAACGATCCAGGGTATCTATTATGATGGCTGAAGCGTTCTGGAAAATAAGGTAAAAACAGGCTCCGTTAATTTTTATGTGATCAATTTATCTACTTATTGGTTCTTTTTGAAACTCTCACCATAAAAATACTTTTTAATAGGTAACACAAATCTGATCCACAAACCATAACATAAAGTATTAAAACACCGGTGAACCGAACTTAAAAATGCACAGGAAAACTGAGTCAGTTCCCTTGATTCCAAAAATTACACTAGCACCACGTTCTCACACAGTTAATCACTTGTTAAAATTTGGACCAACTTGAGAGAGGATACCACCACATACCGAATACATTTCAGTGTAAAAAATGTGCTGTAAATGAGCCGACACCAGAGATTCAAATTTTTTCAACACTAAACACTTTTCCGCGCATTTATGAAGCATGAAATTTGAAAAAATAAAATAAAAACACTTCTACGCACTTAAAATACCATGTTCACGATCCATAGAAAAAATGTTTGACTACTTGAGTTTTGTTTCGTATTGACGGACAACTACAGCACATTATAATATAATTATGCCATTAAGTATCAATCTGCCAAAAGAGAGTATATTATGACAAAATTAATGAAAATACAAGTATTGAAATTTAGGGAATCTAACTAGAATTAAGAGATTAGAAGATGAGCCAGAAATACTCGAGGACGATTTCCTAAGATCCTTATTGAAACTTGGGTTTTTGAAAATTCCAAGAAATTCAAAAAAAAAGTAAAGAAAAAATGAATAGATAAAAAAATTAACAAAAAACAGTGAAGCATGCAAGAATCAAAGCCTTAGAGATTAAAAAGTGATGGATGGCTTTTTAGTTTTACTCCATTTCTCTGTTCTTTTCATACTTCAATATGATAGATATCTCTGCAAATATCTGTACCATCCACTTCCCCAAGAGACAAAAGAGATTGCACTCCATGTTTGCCTTGATGCACCCCCTTCAGTGAATAGTCACTAAGAATGTGTTCTTCCCCATCATTTTATCTATGTGTTCCCTGTGTCTTTTTATTTTACCTTGATTTACTCTTCAATGTGGGCACTTCTGCACAATAAATTCAGATAAGACAAAAATCATGCATCGAAGCAAGAATAATGTATGTAAGCAGGCAATATGATCTGAGCAAACGGAAGGTATAGAGAGGAAATGGGTTAGTTACAGGCCAGGAAGAGATAAAAAGAACAAATGAAAGCAAGTTAGTTAGTACTCTTATCAGTGACTGAGGCAAGCAAAACATGCTGAGTTCCCCCTCCACCGAAATCTATCAATCCATCCTTTACACATTACCTCAAGTATAGCTAATCCTAGTCTTTTAACACAGAGGTAATTAAAAATCATCTTCCTTGGACCGACTCTGCAGTCAGTCATCCAAGCTATCCTGGAAAAGATTTCAAGAGCTGCTGAATGTAGAGAATGTCTTAAAAATAAGAAGAATCTGAAAAAGAGAGCACTGCTATCATTTTAGAAAAAATTTAACTGTTAGCATCCTAACTATTCTTCGTAAAACACCAAACTTCCAAAGAGCTGTTATGGGCTACGTGGGGTGGGTGAGGGTAAAGGACTGCGCATTTCTTAGAATGCCATTTTTCTTGGGCTAGATCATTTTTTTTCGGCAGACAAGTAATAACACAGTCAATTCAAACCCTTGGGTATGATTTGTGATGATAGTTAAATTTTAGAAATGACACTGGCAACAATGGGAATAAGAAAAAATCCAGCTTTACATTCTGGAGCATGCTGTATCTTACAAAAAGATGTGCAAACTTTAAATTTTTATTTCTATTAAATTACTACTCTTGATAGTACGTAAAACTTAACTGCAAATCTCATGAAATTATAAGAATCTTTCTTTCTTTCTCTCTGTCTTTTTCTCCTCCTCTCGATGGGGTTAAAAATGTATCCAGTTAGAATTTTTGAATAAAATTCAATAAAAATTGGTCGGTAATAATAATAAATAGTTCTTAGCTCTCAAAAGAGCTTGTTATCTCTAGAAAAAATATCCTCAAGGAAGTAGATAGGAGAGAGCCTGTCAGATATGCTGCGTAGATAGATTGATACCTGCACACCGAACAGGTACAGTAGACAGGGATCATAAGGACAAAATATAACTTATAAAAGGAGGGGATACGAATACATATAACAAACACAGGCAAACACATAAATTAGAATCACATTGTACATTCACAGGCAACATTGACAAAATTTAGCCGTTGATTGGGGTATTTGCAAGTGGCTTGCTCTGTATTCTTGGGTAGAAATAAATTAAAATTGGGGCAAAATCCCCCTTCAATGACATCTGAGAACTTTGAGATACAACTGGACTACATGTATTAAAAGAGAACAGAGTGCAATTCTGAAAATGGCCAAAAAAATTAATGCCTCCACAATAAACAAAGTCTAGACTAGGAGAGAAACACATAATATTTCTGCCTCAATCTTATCCGATGAAAAATTTTAGCTACATTGAAATGGTTTTAATTTGCTTTTAAAATATGTCCTATGTATCTAAAAACAGAGTTAGCCGATAATGTGTCAAAAGATTAACTGTCTATCCAGGGTTGGATATTTGTATTAAATCAGACTTGTCCATAAAAAATATACAAAATAGATTGAGTACCTCGGTAACACTGCAATTAGTTTCTTTTAATTGGATTGGCTTTAAGCTGAGTACGAACAACAAAATCAGAATCCCACTCACAATTCATTCAAATGCATGGAACTCAAATTAAATTATTTACTGGAAACCTTGCATCCACCTCACTCCTGACAGTACTGAGATTCTCAGTGTGATTATGCTTGACAGTAATAACAGAGAAGCACTTGGCAAAATAGGTCAGAGCATTTCAACCTATTGCTTTTATTGATTTATTATAGAAAATGTTCTAGTTACTGCATTTCTTCTTCTTCTGTTAATCTGAATAAAACATAAGACTACAGTTAAAATACTTGTTTGACATTTTGACAGCCTGCACTTGAATTACTTATTCATCATGAGCACTCTCTCCTGATAAGCATTTTTGTTCCTCGGAGCTTTAGGTTCTCTTGTCTCATTCTAGCTACTAAGCTACTAAAGCTACTTGAGTATTAATTATTTGTGGATCCACTTGAGAAATCTATCATTTTGTACTTGAGTACTTAAGCTTGAGGAAAATTAAATCCAATTTCCCGTTTGAATTCCAATTTGAACCCAAAATGCCATCTGGCAAATTGCTTTGAAATCTTAGTAAGTAAGAACTTTTGAGGCAAAATTTTTTTCCACATAAATAAGAGCCGCTTTTACAGCGCTCTCTGGCAAAAGTCTCTAGGAACTAGCATTCCCTCATTTCTTGTTCAACCTTGCGTTGCCACCTTTGCACTGGGTGTCCCTTTTGTCTCATCTCAGGAGGAATCCAATCAACCGTCTTTTTTGGCAATCTTTCTTCTGTCATTTTGCTCATACCATACCAAACTTTTTGGCTTGATTACCTACCAGATTTTTTAAACTTAAAAAAAAAAAAAAAAAAAAAAAAAAAAAAAAAAAAATTGGACCTGAATACTATTCTGAGATCATAAGAGCCACTATGAGAAAAATCTACAGTTGATTTTATCAAAATTTATTTCAGGTATACCTATGGCTGTTGTGGCGACTTTTTTTCTCCTTCTTCTTGCATAAAAGTGGAAAAAGGAGAAAATCCATAATTCAAGGAGAGATATAATTTTCTAATTTTGAGTACCAAAAATTGTGTGTCATTGATATTGAACTTTCTACCCAAAAATACTTCACGAGCGTTTATCCTACAAGGATATTTAGAGGACATGAACATTTAAGGAACTAAGAAGCAAAACTAAACCCTAAAACAACCGAAACAATACGAGAAAGTTTCAACAGGGACAATGCACACAAATAATGACAATATTGCACATTTAACCTATAAAAAGCAGATTAAGCTAGACAAAAGATTAAAATTTTGTGGATACATTATATTTACCTGTTGGGCGAGTAACTTTCAGCGATTTGCTTCTCAATTTCTTGGCTGATGAGAGGGATTTTTAAAAAGAAAAAAAAATGGAAAGAAATAAAGAGAAAAAATTAGTGCATTGTGATAGAAGTAACACCAAGTGCTAGAGTGTTTTTGTATAAAACCCAAGTGCAGTGAAATGAATTTCCTCTGAATCTGGAATGTGACTGGATTTGGGTTCTCGCATGAATTTTCAAAGGATTCTAACTGATAGAATTACTAAAATTGTTTCACAAATTTAAAGTAGGTAGTTTATATTTAACCATGAATTTTCAAGGGATTCTAACTGATAGAATGACTCAAAGTGTTTCACAAATTTAAAATGGGTGATTTCTATTTTAAATTGAAGGAATATCAAAGTGACATGTCGAAATAATTCAATTTATACAAACTTTGGATAAATGAATAACTTTAAATCAAGCCTTTAGAATACCAATTAAAAGGTCTAACCTGTCAGAAGTGTGTTAAAAGCCTTCACTAGAAATGATTTTCAATACATGCGAGAGTGGTATTAATCAGAAATAACATGCACTTAGGATGTTTGCTTAGTTCTCTTAGGCTTATGTAGTATGTTAAGAGGATTAAAATATCTGTTCTCAAAATTAATGACGAGGGTTACTGTGTTCGACATTCACAGCGATTTGGAAAGCAATAGAAACACTCTCCGGATTGCATTTGGGCCAGACCATTTAAATTGAGAATTTTCCTTAAATTGTCCTCCCTCTGATGTAAGGGCATATCTCAATTTTTATGTGAGCCCTGTCCTCCTTATTAGTCTATGCTTTCCGGGGCTTATGTGGGAAACGAGAGGCGCCCTTACGTCAGAGGGGCAACAAAATTTGAGATTTAATTATTAGAATTGGTAGCCAATAATTATTAGAAGAACCAGGGTAATAATGAGTTCATTTCCCATCAAAATGATGTAAATTCAGTGATATGAACACAGGACACCAATTCTTTGGTAACTTGTCCAAGGAAATTGCGGAAACACAAAAGCTCATCGTGTCAATTAACAAGGATAACACAGTAATAATTCATTTAAACTTAAATTAAAGTCACAACATCCAGATGTACATTGCTGAATATGCTACTCAACCATGCTCAGTGACATTGTTTTGAAACAAACCAACATCTTAACACCAACAGTGCTTCATGAAAATAAAAGTGATCAATGCAATTTCATATGCCCGATTAATTTCAACAGTTTGGAGAAGTGACTTTGTTGGTTGATTTTACGATCAAAAAGTCAGTTAAAAAAATTTAAGTAGAGGGATATCCTGAGGTACCTTCCTATTTTTACATTGTGTGCTTAAAAACTAGGTAGGTAATTGGTTCATTTCAGAAATTAGAAAAGGAAGGATATTACTTACAGTTGTTTATTCCTATCTTCTAGAATGCCATTTCCTCGGTGAAAGAAGTAAAACACCTCGTAGCACATAAACAAGGACAGCACTAGGAGAGCAAGTTTCCGAGCATGGTAGCTATTTACCCAAACAACACTGGTCATTGCTTTCAGCTCTGTAACAGAGGTGATAATTGATTAAGTGCTTGTACATATTTTAGTGTTCATTATTGTCAGAATCAATATGTCCCATTGCTGAGATCTCAAACAGAAAATATGAAATGTTCTGACAGGGATCTGACGTGAATTTAAATCAGTGGAAAAAATGGAACACCTACAAAATAAATTGGGCACCTCCACTGTAAATTGCTTTATATCGATGGCTAAAGAGCAGTACCCGTAATCCCGGTTGCAGTGTTCCAAAATCACCATTCCTGGTTCATTTTTTTAAACAGGAACAAGTCAGCTTTGTAGCTTTAAATTTATACAGAATGTTCTGCTGATAGTGAAGAAAAATTAAGGAAACTTTCAAGAAATTTCATGGACTCGTTTACCAAGAAAAAAATAAAGGATGATTGGAAGTCTACAATGTTACAAACGGATATACGCAGCCTCGCACTTTAGCCATTGATATATAGGGTGAATGAACACATTCAGGGTGCAAATACTGGTATACAGATTCAGAAATACACAACACCAATACCTAACTAAACGCTGACAACACATATTTAAACTGTGACGTTTCAACATGTCAGCTCCTTATTTCTTAATCTCATGTGACAGACAGGGTGCCTACTTGGTTTTCTTAAATTGAATCTTGAGACAAAAGCTTCAGTAAACTACAATCAACACAACCAAGAGGTCATTAATATGTTCACTTGTGAAATACAGCAAGTTTGGAGGAGCAATTTGAGAGTTCTAGTACTGGAAATGGTTACCCGCCACCAGTGAAGCCTGATCACAACACAACATGGAATTTTCTGGCAGCAGAATCACCAAACTCAAGAAATTTACATTGAGGCAACACAAGCACTGGATTCAAAGCTACCGATGGCGATATTTAAACCAGAATTTTAATGGTGAAACTGGAAAACCGCAAATCGTGGTTTAAAAAGTTGCAGACTTCCCATGACGTTTCACTTTCAGGAGTGAGACAAATTTTTTAACAAACATTTCTGGTAGTGTACTTCTAAAAATACATTTGGAGCAGAAGTTTTCAAACACTGGAAGCCAGACGCATACTTTCACGGTTTCAGGGTTGATTTCTTATAATTAGACACAAAAGATAGCTTGTATGGTAAACAATTAGGTATGAAATGGAACGTACTAATCCTTGGTGATGGAATTGGGCAAAATTTCCAGCGAATGGCCATCTCAAGTGTATTGCTTTACAATTACTTGCACAGGGGAAAAAATGACAAGAATAAGGGACTGTTTAGGTCACACTGACTTCATTCATGGGACAAGTCATCCAGGTGGAAAGCTAGTAGAGCTTGTTTCAGATAAGTGTATTTCCTTGTTGTGAGCATTACTCAGAGAAGAGCAAGGACTGGCTCTTGTTACAAAACTTATCTAAGATGAGCTATGTACTTCCTCACACTAGCTCCGACAGTCCACTCCTGAGTGAGAGGGAGAGAATTGAAGTGTGCATTCACATAGGACTCATTGCAATGTTTGACAAGTCAATAAAAAAAAAGATGATTCAAAGTACATCCCACAGTGCTAACTTGGCGCTTTCTGAGAAGGGGGAGATAAGAAGAGATACTCACAGGAAATCAATTGAAGAGTACTTAAGTCATATCTGAATCATAACCAAACTTGCTAGATCAGTTGAAAAGTTTGCACATGATAAAGTGAGGCTTGGGCCGAGTGATTCCGAGGAGATCAAACGGATGAGAAGGAAAGTAGACTAGAAACTATGAGTGACTTTGTGTATCGTAGAAATACTGAGCTGCAATCAATTTTCTCATAACTTGATAGTCGAACCGCTTGCTGGAGATCGGGAACGACTGACGGAAGATGCAGATTACCGAAGTACGAGGTGTAATTGGACGCAACGCATTCTGCGCAAGGACTGTTTTACGGCGGGGTGTCGGTGGCAGAATACGTGATCAGCAGATTCATCGGGTACGAGGAATAAATGGGGAATATTAATTAACTCATTAGTAAACTAAAGACATTGCGCCCACTAGGTGATAGCTGATAACAAAATGAGGAAGCGACAGGATAGATAACGCCTGTTTCTGTTTACAAACAGATCAGCCAATCAGTGAGCACTATCTAACAAAAATTCAAATATTTGGCGGGAATTGACTTTCTCCGCTCCTACCTACCTCCGCTCACTCAGCGCTCAATTATCAGTGAACTTGAAACAACTAGGTACGTTTTTACATTATCAAGATGCTCGGTGACCATAATACCTATTTATATACCATGTAGGCATAAACTTTGCCTTAATAATATTTGATCATTGTAGATCATTGATTTTACGAGCATTTATTTTAATTGTTTGGGGAGAGGACGGGGGTAGTTTTTTTTTTTTTTTTTTTTTAACAAATTAATCGAAAAAGAACTCACTAGTACTACCATGGAAATCGTCGTGATTTTAGCATTCGTGATTTTTACGTATCAATGTTTTTTTTTTTTTTTTTTTTTTTTTTTTACCAATTTCAAATAGCCTATTGGCGAATCTCACGCTTCTCACCCCAGCCCCAGGTGACCATTGCCTGAGACCATCAAACTCAGGTCACCTGGCCGGGAATCGAACCCGGGACCTCTTGGTCATAGGGCCAGCGCAGCGCTAAAACCGCTACACCACAGGAGGCCGACTACTGTTGGGAATCGTCGTCATTTTTGAACCTGCATACATATCACTGCAATGAATATAAGAAAGTTTCATTACTGAGGCTTTTAAATCGCAAAAGGTCAAGTCGCAACTGACTGAGAAAATGTCCCATCGGTCCTGTGACCGACACAAAATTTGCAGTCTGAAAGTTTCTGGAACGATAATTCCTCATATTATCTCGCAGGAATTAACCCAGGGTCACAAATATGTTCAATTTCCAACTGTAATTTTCTTTTTAATTAATTTGTTTGACGAATTCTTGTAAGTTAACGTTTCAAATGACATCGAAGCCACCAATACATGGTGTCTTAGACGCATACAGAATAATGTATGAGACGACCAATGATGAAAACGTGGTGCTTCTCGGAGTTTTTTCCTTGTTAATCGTTATCGATATTCTTTTACTTACTCATTTCAACTGATTTTCCCATGTGTTTAGCGAAAATTTGTTGTTTGGTAAACGTCATACGTTGCACTATAACAATTAAAATTATCTAAATTTGCTCGTCACTCTCTAATTTTCTAAATGGAAATCTATAAAATCACGGCAAGTATACCTAATGCTCAGGAGCACGCGCAGGTAAGATAAAAAAAATCTGCAGCCTGATTTTTGAACTTATTTAACTGGCTTTTTTCGACAAGCTAAGACAAGACATAGCCCTATCTACGCCGTGTAATGCATCGATTTTCGATTCTCGTCGTGCCGACATAAATTTTAACAATCAGGCTGATGCATACGAACAATAAACAACTACGTAAATGACAGAATATTGTTTTGACATGGACATCTATTTGAACAGATGCTCCGCTGCACAACAACCGTATTCATGCTGCCATATGCAACTGTATTCATCGACCACACACTCTATCCCTGGATCAAATAACAAATAAATTCCTGGCAGCCTCAGTGGTGCGTAAATAGGTAGGTAGGTGTAAGTATCATCTTCCTGGCTGAAGCATCTTTTACGTATCGATTATGATATGACTATATAATGATTGGCGTGAGAAATATAGGTATGTTCTGCCGATTCAGCACAGCGGGTTGATTGTTGAATCTTTATCGAATGACTCTATCGATGATTTGCATTTCTGAGGTAGGGGTGTACATCGATGAAGGTGCTCTGTAACGATTAAGTAATCCAAGTGTTGGTCGCAATAATTTGCGATCAAATGGTAAAATTCTTGCTATTACTATCACATCGGATTTTTGTGTGTTGCCTATTTACTAATTGAAGGAGCCCTTATCGTTGGAACAGGTTCATTGCAATAGAATCAAAGTAGTAGAACCTTTTTTGCTGATCGGTTAGAATCAAATTGATCAATCGAAGTAAAAATATTGCAAGTACATGATAAACGAATTGCAACTTTTTTCTTCTTTTTTTCTTTCTTTCTTNAAGTTGATAGAGGATCTCCTCCCGAGTCTAAAACACTGACGCATTTTGAAATCGGACGATCACGGAGGGAGGGGGAGGGGAGTCAAAGTAAAAAAATTAAACTCGCAATATCTCGATAACGCTTTGTCGTAGAAAGATGATATTGGTCTCAAAATGTAGAGAAAACCACCAGCTTTCAGGCGATAATTACAAAATTGGTCCATTTTGGAAATTTCATCCATTGTTGCCACGTTACCGAAGTTCAAATGTTCAGTTTTTCACCTTTTTAGCTGCGACGTTGAAGGAATCGCACAAAAAGTAATCTAACTATTTTTTGATGAAAGTAGACCGTTTAAGCTTTAAAACAAGCACAAGTTCATCCTGAGGAAACAAGTTGGAGGAGAGATATGATTTTTCAAAGTGGATGTGGTACACTTGGACCTGCACTGAGAAAAAACTATGGTTTATAAACCTATTAGAGGTAAATATGGAACACCTATAATAGTCGTAAATAAACTAATGATTCTCGGTCTGTGAACCATACTAAGGTCTCTGTACCTAATTAAGGTACAGAGACCATAACTAAGGTATATGTGCTATTATTATATGTAGAGGTACTACTATTAGTGGTGTTCCATATTTACCTCTAATAGGTTTATAAGCCATAGTTTTTTCTCAGTGTGGTTTGTTGCGAGTCCCAAGATCACCAAATGCCCCCAAACCAATCACGAATAGCAAGGTTGTGCATTTTTATACCCCATTATAGCTAATTCCCGAAGAAAATTATTAAAAAAGAACAAAATATCGAGACATATGAATGTTACAAGACTAGCCTCAGCTGACTCTCGTTGCATCAAAAAAAATTCATGCCTCTTTTTCAAATCGTTTCTGTAGGATGGACTTAAATTTAAAAAGCTCAAATGGTACGATTTTATTAGAAATTCCTCTTTTTTCCTCTTATTTCTACCGAGCGAACCGTTGAAGGTAAACATACATTTTTTTATGATCGAAAACTTTGATTTCCCTGTATCCATTGCATATTACTCATTTATCCTGATCTTGTCATTTTTGACGAATGATTTAATCTAGGAGTGACCTATAAAGGTATCGCCCCAGCTAAAAATTGAAAATTTAAACTACGGCAACGTGATAGCAATGGATGACATTTTCAAAATGGACCAATTTTGTCATCATTGTCTGAAAGGTGGTGGTTTCCTCTATATTTTAAGACTAAGATCATCGCTTTACGACAAACCGTTCACGAGATATGCGAGTTGAAATATTTATCTTTGAACCCTTTTCTCTCTATCCGTACTTGTTTGATTTCAAAAATCGTCGGTGTTTTGGACTCGGAAAGTGATCCTCTATCGCGAAAAATTAAAAGCGCGATGGCGTGAGTCGTGAGGCGTGAATTCGCAATATGCTCTTCTCTAGGCTATTATATAGTCAGATCCGCGAGAAAAGTTAAAAAGCGAGGCCGGATTACGTTTTTCTTACCTTCGACTGTGTTGCTCACGTAGCCTTTAAAGCACCACTACAAGTGAGACAAACGAAACCAACACAATAAGGAAATGGAGCAAGGGAAAGGACTCGCGTTGATCACGGCGCAGAGATACGACTATTCGTGCTTGATGGATGTCCGTGTTGCATCTGCAAAATTGAAGGCGCAATGGCCCGGGGCATGAACTCGCAATGCTCCGCTATGTGCTGCCAATGAGGTGTCTCTTAGATTCAGGGAGAAAAGTTAAAAAAGAGGCCCAAATAGTTCCCTCCTTTCTTAGACTGTGTTGATTTGATACTCGATTCTTTTTTGGAATGATTTGCAGACCAACATCTAAAGCTCGCGTGAACCGGCCCCATCCAATCTGCGGGGCAGGTTTTGTTAGGAAGCCTCGCAATTTGACCCGGCTTCAGCATTTAAGTGTTCATAAAAATATCATTAAAATGACTGCACCTTCCTCGCAAAAAGTCAGTATTCAACATTGGATCCAAAATAGGCCATTCAGTCTGTGAATTTCAATAAAATTTGGTTATGCTATCTCACAAAGTTAGGCTTCAATTGTTCGGTCACGTCTGAAAATATTCTCATTTCCAACAAAATTATTGCTGAATGGATCTTCCTGCCGTATATACCTGATGCATTTAATTGATTTGTTCCTATCTCTTTTTTTTACTTGCCTTACTAAACACCTTGTCCTTTGCTAGACTCAACACTCTTTTTCCCTCTCTCTCTCCTTCAAAATTTCACCTTGTACTAACTAGATTGCATGTTTCATTTTCCAATCGAGGAAGCTAAAAAGATCTTTCCAGCTGTCATGTTTCTTGGGTTCATCATTTTCAGACTTTTAGTGTTTAAAAGCAGTATTTTAGGTGGCCAGATCTGCCTCAGAATCTCTAGAAATAACGGAGCTTGGATGCGTCTGGTAGCTGTGATTTGTTCTCTTTGTTTTCGTTTCACAAGTCCATCGGTTACTTTAACACGCTCAATTTTAAAAATTTTTCTCTGGGGGTGCATCCCCCCGGGAAATATCATACGACACCCCCTTAACCGGCCGAGCGTCCACGCTCTTAGATGTGAGCCAGTCCGTCCATGCGTGTGAACTGGTGTCCGATAGAAATGAATAAGGTAATTTTTGGATCGAGTAATACAAAAGGATACAGGTTATTGCACCGGTGATTTAGATATTTCAGCCCTAAAAATACCTTTAAATCGACTGCATCTTTCAGGAGTTCGACAGAAATTTTCCTTTCTTCGCTTAAATTATTCCGTAGCACTTTTCTTTAAGAATTTGATAAGATATTGCTGGGGGCAGATCCAAAAACTTAAACTCGTTCGAATGGCTTTCTACATTCACAATACACGGTCTCGTCAAAGTGCGTCGTCGAAGAGTTGGATCGTATGAATTCTCTTGTTGTGCTACTTGCCTATTTTGAAATCTCTGTAAATGAAAACTAAAGGGGTTGATATGTGTGAGTTAATGACGCGCCTTATCAACACATTGTGTTGGAGTTCACTGCTTGTTTTTTTATATATATACTTCTGACCAATATTTTGGAAATCCGAAGGTTTATACAAATGCGTATTTTTGGCATCTGAATAAGGGTTTTTTTTGTTGCAAACTCGATCTTTCGGAAAATTAGTGGGTTGTGGAAAATACAAAGGTCGATTCGGGGTCAGAAGCAAAAAATAAGATATAGTAGCTCAATTATAGCTATCTGAATAAAATGTTTTTTGCCCTTCCGGACTCAAAACAACGGATCAGTTTTATATATGATTCGTGGGTGGATAATGCCATTTTGACCGGAAAACTCTCATCAGAAAAAGGGAGACATGTTTTTTGGACATGCGGTATGCAATACATGTCTGGGTAGTGTCTATGTATCCTTGGCCCCTAAATTCAAGAATTACTTCGGTTTATCTCGATCATGCATCAATTTCCAGAAAATCAAATTTTCCTTGGAAAATTCATTTTTAAATAATCCCAATTTGCCTGGAAAATGGCAGAGACAGGGACAAACCGAGGTCATACTTGGACTCAGGGCTGAATATTACACGAGAATTTGCTAATGAAGCATTCATTTTTTTTTTTTTCGGTGTATACTTGTGTAATCTTTCATATTCAACAGCGGACCAGTTTTGCGTCAATTTCAAACTTCCTGCGCGAAGAAGTATATCCTGAATTAAGAAGTCCTTTGGAACAAGGGTGTGTGCTCAAAAAGGTAGTTCCGCGGAAATCGCATTTGAAAGTTCAGAAGTGCATAGCGTTGGTACTAGCCAATATCTTCGCACGAAATTTAATTAGTTTGAAAGAACAAGTCTTTGAGAGTATACTTGCAAAAACGGAACATTGTGACTACATTCCCCTATGATCCCTACAAGATAACGTGGATCGTTGTGTAAAAAGGGTGGGGGGGGGCACGACTTTTTAATACACTATGTATATTTCCTGAAACTAGGAAGAATCCAGTTTCAGAAAACGCGTTCTCCGGAAAAAGGGCGGATGCGCGCATACGCCTTTGTCCCAAAGAACTCCATGTAACCTGCCGGCACGGCGGTGTCTAGAAGAAAAAAATCAGTTGCACCTCATGAAATTTTAGCTCTATTTTCGAGTGACCGCGGTGTTGTGCTGTCAATTATGGGTTTGCACCTGTAGATGCTTGTCTGAGGGATATTTTCTTGAAAAAGTAGCAGATTTGTCGATTGTTCATGTGCCTCCGTTTTCCTCGTTGGCATGAGATGAGATAGGTAGGTCCAGTCAGCACCCGATATCTCCGAAACGCGCCACGCCGCGCTGCGCCTCGTCGCACAGTTTACATTTGATTTGGAGCGGCCTATGCGTGAAACTAAATTCGGCGATAGTACATCGATGAAGGTGCTCTGTAACGATTAAGTAATCCAAGTGTAGGTCGCAATAATTTGCGATCAAATGGTAAAATTCTTGCTATTACTATCGCATTGGATTTTTGTGTGTTGCCTATTTACTAATTGAAGGAGCCCTTATCGTTGGAACAGGTTCATTGCAATAGAATCAAAGTAGTAGAACCTTTTTTGCTGATCGGTTAGAATCAAATTGATCAATCGAAGTAAAAATATTGCAAGTACATGATAAACGAATTGCAACTTTTTTCTTCTTTTTTTCTTTCTTTCTTTCTTTCCTTTTTTTTTTTTTTTTTTTTGCCCTGTGCTATTCGGGTGATGTTTCAAAATTAAGTATAGATTTATCAAACATGGTCAGATTTAGAGATGCACAGATCACAATAAGTGGATGTCCCTTTCGGTAAATTCAGAAATAACTCCATGCACGAATGTTGCGCAAACATTGCTGCAATGTTAACTTTGACAGTAACGCTGCGACGTTTTCGAAACCATTTTTTACCACATTTGCACATATTCCCTTTGAATATTATTAATACGTTAGAGTATATCTACCATTGTTTTGTGTGGTGGTCATGCTCGGGGTATTAAAAAATTGCAAAAAATTAAAAAGTCCATCGTTGGCGGAAAAAATGCCATACGTCCGGAAAAGAGGCCACAGTATTATGCGCCTACTCTCCGTTTCCTATCTATAAACTTCCTTGCCACTGTCTGCTTATTCAGTCTCTGCTGTTTTTATTTTCCGAATCAATAATTAATTGCCTATTGACGACACTGAGAGAAATGCCCAATCAAAGCGAAATATCCCGCGCGCGGCTGCTGTGATTGTATCCTAGCTCGAGAGATTTACAATGCTCACTGATACGCAGAGGAATAGATGTCATCGTCTGTGTGCCAAGGGTTTAACTTGTTTATAAAGCTGGCTGAAGAGGTTAACCACCGTGCCCATAAATGCACCGGTAGTGTAAATCGTTGTCAAGTTGCCCCGTTCAATTGTCCCATCATTAGTATCTTCTTCAAATGTGCGTCTCAGCTTCAGCGGCTGGGTCGGTTAGGGGTTGCCCTGACTGCTCTTCATCAGCTTATGGCCCCTGCCGTACTGGTATTCGATGGGACGCCTTTATGGGGTGGTGCTTCGGCACCCCTCCTGTTGGGTGGCACTTTAAGCGAATTTTACCCCTCTGGAAGGGGGAAAATAATACCTATGCGTCTCTATATGGAAGTTTTGGTGACTATTCACTCTGTTCAAAGCGTTTGTTTCATGACGATACAATTGTATCCTCTAAAAGCATTTTGTAATGATTCCATTAAATGTACTATACAATTAATTTCATATGAACTTAAAGTCATTTAACTAACAATGGTGAAAATATGCTATACGCTTGTATGCCTAAAAATTTTTTGTATGCAGAGTCCAAGGTTGAGCCAAAAAGACCCGCACTAAAATGCATCAATTTTAATAGTTTATGAAGTATGATGCACGTTAGTTATGTTTTACACAATAAAGACATGAAAATATGAAAACGACGTACGTATACAACGGGATACAACTATTCGTGCTTATGATGGATGCCCGTGTTGCATGTGCAAAATTGAAGGCGCGAAGGCGTGAGGTGTGAACTCGCAATACTCCGCACTGTGTCGCCAATGAGGTGCCGCTCGGATTCGAGAGGAAAGTTTAAAAACGAGGCTGGATTAGGCCTTACCTATCTTCAACCGTGTTGCTCACATAGCCTTTGAAGTATCACTGTAAAAATAAGACAAACGGAACCATAACAAAATGGAAATGGAGCTAGGAAAACGACGCGCGTCGATGACGGCGCAGGGATACAACTATTCGTGCTTGGTGGATGCCCGTGTTGCGTCTGCAAAACTGAAGGCGCGATGACGCGAATTGTAAACTCGCAATGCTACGCTCTAGGCTGCTAAATGAGGCATCCTTCAGATTTCGGGAGGAAAGTTATATAAAAAGGAGGCGCGAATAGTCTGTCCTATTTTTTCCTGTTGTGTGTGCACTCGATTATATTATTATTTTTTTCCAATTTGCTGTCTGATTTTTTTTTTTTTTTTTTTAGGGTGTATTTGTATGGACCTATATTTAAAGCTCGAATATAAAGGCTCCATACAACCCGCTGGCCACTTGTTTTTAGCAAGTATCGGGTCAATTTGACCCGGCTTGGGCATGTAAGGCTTAAAGAAATACATAAATAAGAATACTGAAAGCATACGAGATGAACTTAGTACAGAACTAATGGCAGTACTTAGGCAGTTGTATTACTTATATTGAATAAATTATGTTGTTTAAAAAAATAAAAGAAAAATGTTTTTCTTGAGATGGTGCGATTAACCGACTGTTATCCCTTTTTTTCATCGCAGCTGCAAATTGAAATTCCTAATAATGCCTCGATGAGTAAAAAATCAATATAGATGGATGTGAAAAAATGAACCAAAACTAATGGCAGCTTCGTATTACAGGTAAATAAAATAAAGTGAGGTAAAATCTGTACATGAGAAACTCGGATAATTTTGACCCCGCGCGGCAACAGCGATGCAGTCGACGTAACTCTCTAATCAGTTGCCGCCATGTAATAACCTAGTGTATCTGTACCTCACAGTGCAAAGTTTGTAAATAATATTGATCATTCGACGCTTTAAAATATTTCTCAGCCTCAAGTGAAAATTCTCCCAGTCATCTCTTTTAAATTTTTGCATGTTCAAGTGAAAATTCCCCGGAAAAAACGTGATAAATCTTGTCTTCCACACATCAACCAGAGTTCTCAATGCTTTATTTTCTACCTACTGTAAGTAGTGAGATATCCAACACAGTTATCATTTCAGCTGATTCTCTAAGCTTTTCTCGCATATCAAGAATTTTAATTTTCCTATTTATTGACTTCTCCATTTTAAAATTTGCGTATACTACACTCCGTTCTCCTCTGTTGTTGTGAACAGAAAAGTATGAACATTGGGACCCAACAACTGCAGGGCACCGTTTGAGACTACAAGCCACGATCCTGACACAGGCGGAGTGAGATGCTCCGGCCACCATCTTTGTCGAGCGATTACTGATAAACCACTTCGCTTCGCTACACCAACACGCGGGTTTTTTGAACGGGTAAGTTGACATAGCACGTATAGTGGCTGTTTCCATAAGGCGAATGCTTAACTTGTGTTTCCCATTCCGCCAGAAGTTCCGTTTATTTTAGCTTTAAAACAATGCGTATGGTTTGTCCAAAGTATCAGTTCCTCAGCTAATTATATTAATACATGTTTAACACAAAAAAGAAAAGAAAAAAAGAAGAAGAAAAAAAAAAGTATGCGACTCATGAGTTTTTGGCAGATTTGCGCCCGTCTAACAGAAACCAATCTCACTTCATAAAAAAAAAAAAAAAAAAAAAAAAAAAAAAAAAAAAAAATTATATTCTTCTATTTTGATGCAAAACAAAGAGACACACATTTTAAATTGGTTAAATGTGCGGAATTTGTAGTTACACACACCAAAAAAACTTCGTCATTAGAAATAAAGAGCAAATACATTCAAAAGCATGTGACGCATATTTTTCTGTGTGTTTTTGGATGATAAGTGGTAAATGAGCTTGGTTTTCTTCCACCAAACTCGAGGTTCACCAGGAAGAAAAATGTTCCGAGGGACATCCAGTCTTTTCAGAAATTTTTACTTCCTGCAGAATCCTCACAAGATGGAATAAATATGATACGATTCCTTCCGAACTCAGCGCCAAAAAAATACACGGGAATCCGTTATTTAATGATCTCAGTAAGCAAATTAGCCCAAAGATGTATAGCAGAGTTGCTTCGATAGTTACGATGTTCCCGCCCTCACTCTGACCAATTCGCCTTCGATACCTGAATAGGCAACGTCAGCGACACGGGAGCAGGATTAGTTGCTCGTAGAAGTTTGGTCATTGGTCATGTCTGCTCGTTTTCAGCATAGTGTTAGCAGATTAATATTGCTCTCCAATTACCAGGGCCGGATTTACCTACTTGCCGCCCATGGGCCGCCTGTATTTTGCCGCCCCCTTCTCATTCGTTTTGAAACATCAATAAAAACCATCAAGTGAACGTGCCGGAGGGAGAGGGGGAGGGGTGCATAAGACGCGTTTACCTACTCGTGTTGAATACATTTTTTGCGAAAGCCCTGTCAACGCTAGGTACTAGCAAAATTTCACGGAACTTCGCCTCTCCATTTATAAGAAATGAAGTAAAAAATTATGAAAGAACAAACATGAATGTGGTATAATAATTTTAACTTCCGCCGCAGCGCCGCGTTGATCGCACTGTGTTTGGCGCAATGGGTGAAGTATTCATGCAGTCTTGTAGGCGCTAATATGTGTTACATGCCGACCGCCGCGCCGAGGGCTTGTCCTTTTCATCTCAAGTCCTCGTCATCATTCCTCTCTGCGTTAAGCTCCGGGCCAAATTGCGTGTTTAGTTCCTCTCTTAACTCGATTAATTAAAGATGTTGTCTCTTGTATCACCGAAAAACGACAAAATTAGAAATTACTAATTATTCTCTTAGGAAAGAGAAATTTTGCCCTCTTTTCTCGATGACAATTTTTTTCTGAATTCGATTTTTTTATACCTACATTCAAAAAAATTGCAAAATTTGCCGCCATAGGCCACGGCCCATGTGGCCACCCCCCTTAATCCGGCCCTGCCAATTACGATACTTTTCTACCATTGTGACCAGGTCGCCTGCAATATCGGAGTAGGCAACATGAGCGGCTTGGGAGCAGTAACAGTTTCATGCAGCAATTTAATCATGCTTACTCGTTTTAGTCGTACGGTATTATCGATTCCATGTACTATATAATTATCACGGTATTTTTATCTCATTCTGATTAGTTCACCTTTAATATATGCTTTCTCTGCTTCCCTTCCAACTCGACTGAACCACTCTCCTCGGTCATGAGGGTCACATCTTCGCAAATAATGGACCACTAGACAAGGTACGAATTTCAGCATTCTGATACATGTTTCTTAACTAAAATTTCACGTTGAACACGATACGCGCAACGAAAATGACCGAAATTAACTCCTTACGAAGATATTTAAAGATTCATGATGCGTGAATTGAAACCACCCGCTCATGAGAACTTAATGCTCTACGTGATTTACATCGCGCGGTAAACGTTTATCATGAACGTCTCAGCGATATAAAAATCTGGCAACCTCAGTCTTGACGCTTTGGCTCAGCTATAGCAAATTGCTCATAGTTTCAACAACACTTGGTAGGAAATGAACATTGCTCGATTGAGAAGCTTGCTGAAACCATTGTAGTGCGCGATTTGACTCACGTAGAGCTTTGAGTTTCTTGTGAGCGGGCAGTTCAAATTCCTCGTAACCAATGTGAAATAAAAAGATCAATATCTTCGTTAAGAGTTGGTTTCAGTAATTTTCGTTGCGCGAATTGTGCTCCACGTGAAATTTCGGTTAAGAAACATGTTTTAGAATGCTTAAATTCGTACCCTGTCTAGTGGTCCATTGGACTTTATTTTTCAATTAGGAACTAAAATTTCTGACTCATACGTAAAAACACTCTTGTGCATAGGAACACAATGGTACTTACTTGTTTATAAACTGAGCCAGAAATAGTGGCTCCTATACGTTATATTAATCGTTCAAATGTTAAAACGTTTCAGTAGAGGTCATAATTCTCATGAGAGTTTTTCCAAGGAAATGAATAAGCTATGATTCTCATCAAAAAAAATTTTACGATTTTTTTCAGATCATAGAGTCACAACGTTGGCGTTACAACACTTGAGAGGAAAATGTTCGAATTCCTGCAAAAAGTATGGCTTCCTTTGTTAATAATTCTCTTGGCATTCCTCTACGGGCATTTTACGAAAAATTTCGATTACTGGAAGAAAAAAGGTGTATTTTACTTCGAGCCAGTGTTCCTTTTCGGCAACATCAAGGACAGAATTTTATTTCGCAAAGCCTTCCATCAATTCTGGCTGGATACGTACAGGAGCATGAAAGGTCACAAGTTTGTAGGTAATATGACATTTCAAAATATTAAGCTAAATTATGAGATTAAACACTGCAAACATCACTTCCTAACTTCTCTCATGATAACTTTTATCATTTTATTTTGACGTGGAAAGAAAGTGAGCAGAACTGGAACACCACTGCGCCGCAGTGGACAATTTCCAACCCGTATGCTAGGGCAATGCTGACGAACAGAATTCCTTATAGTTCAAACACGCCGAGTTTGTTGGGTAGGCGTGTAATATTATACTTCACTCTAGCATTATTGACTATCTCGATTTACTGGTCGGAGATTTTCCAGCTATTCACTGTTCAGCACTTTTCTAATTTTTTCCTAGTTTTAAATAAAGGCGAGTCATTTTTCTTTCGTAAGGACAAAAAGTGAAGATCCATAGTACATCATAGGGTAAGATCATACTTCGACGCAAAATTGCAATGGAAGTATAACTCAACATTTCCGAACATCTATGCATGCTCGGCTTCCAAACATACTCAATTTCTTTGGGAGCCTTCATCCTTCTACGATATAATATGACATGAATATAACGAGTACGGTATGAACGCCTAAGGTGCGAAGCGCTTCGGGGCAGTGGCGTGGCTTGCTTTGCGATATATCGATTGATCTACCATTTAAACCAATGGGAAAAGATCGATAAACATGGTGTTCGAACTGAACACCTTAATATTCGATTCTCTAGCTGCAAATGGGAAAATATCGATAATTGATCATTCACGCCTCGCTACTCTTCGGAGCTACTCGCTACCCAAGTAGCATTTTTCAATGTAAAAGTTGCAAAATGTTGAAACAATGTCGGTATTAGTTGCAACAAAGTTGCAACTTTCAGTCAACTTTTGGTCGATAAGTGCCGATTTTCGGCGATCTAATTGGAAAACTAAGTTGCAACCTGCTGAGATTGCAAAATTGCTGCACCAAAGTTGTTTAAAATCTAAAGATAGGCAACCAGCAATACTTTGAGGTTGAAACATGTTTCAGCTTAATTGCAACTAGTTCCGACAATGATAGCTCCTTCGGGGGAGAGAGTAGGCAATCTGCACATCAATCTATTGGTTGCAAGAACTAAACGATTTTGTTGCAAGTTGTTGCAACGTCTGCTACTTGGGTACCAGTAATACGAACATTTTTCGCTACTCTATCTAACATTTTCCTCTCATTATTAATACCATCGTTTCTATGTAGGATTTTTTGAGGGTCGGAAGCAAACTCTGGTGGTTCTCGACCCTGAAGTCATCAACCACGTTTGTATCCGAGACTTCAGCCACTTCGTTGATCGCCCAACTTTGGAGCTCAAGTATCCACTGCATCAAAGGCAGCTGCTCAACTTAAAAGGACAAGAATGGAAAAAAGTTCGCTCACTGCTCACCCCTGCCTTTTCCTCCGGGAAACTTAAAATCATGGAGCCTTTGCTCAGACAGTGTGGGAAACAACTCAAACAGTACTTAGAGAAAGCCACGGGTGAGTCTTTTTTAAATTTTCATAACTTGAGCAGTAGTGGCGTGGCGTATATTGCGATATATCGATTGTTATGTCATTTAAACCTATGTAGAAAGATCGATAAACAGGGTGTTCGCAGCGAACACCTTAATAATCGATTCTTTACCATAGGTTTAAATAAAATTACAATCGATACATCGCAATTCACGCCACGCCACTGTTAAGCAGTATACAACTTCCTGCTGCTGCATCATTTGCCGGGTAGGTATTTGCCCATAAGTGCCGAAGTGTGCGGCGTCAACATTTTCAGACATAAATTAAGGGTTAAAAAATAAAAAGGGAATTAAAGATCATACTATGGACCAGGCCCGCCACATCCTATCTCGGGCCCTGGTACCAGTTTCAAGGCCCGGGCCCCCAGCACAGAGGGGGTCCGGAGGCCTACCCTGGGAAATTTTTTAAATTTTAAATCTATTTGTATTGGACGCATTTTAAGCTCCCATGACGGAGATTTCCCATCAATTTCTGCAGAATAATTACGCTTTTTTTTTTTTACTTTTAGCACAAAATACTTTCGGATTGTTGCATTCAAAACACCTGGAAATTTTTTTTGGGAGGGGGGGCAGATGATACTATTTTCAATTCTAGGGTGGTCCAAGCCTCCCTGGACTCCTCTTTTGTACGTCTATGGCAAGGAAGTTGAGCCATTGAACTCGCGGATGCCCAGACTGGAGACTCTTAGCATCCGACGACGGAAGAAAATGAAACTCAGTTACCAAAAATATCAATTTATACTAAAAATCTTGAAAATAGATAGAAATCTTCAAAGCAGTAAAGAAAATTCCACAGTGCCCCAGCATTTTTTGAAAATTTATTCACCTTTTGCGAAATTTTTAGGGTAAATTTTTCATTTTTCCTTACGAGACAAGGGTTACATCTGAATTCGTAGTGGTTTTTCACCAGTGGCACGGGCCTCTCCAGGGCCCGGGCCCCGGAACCAGGGACCCAGTATCCCCCCCCCCCCTTGTGGCGGGCCTGCTATGGACAGACGTTAGTCTTGATTTACAGTTGTGGCGAGGAGCTAGATGCATGCTCGCACCCTAAACACTTTTCAGTTGCTTTGCGAATTCGTAGAGACTAACCGCTCTTAGGATTTCCGAAAGAATCGTGAAGAATAAGTATTGAATGCACAGTTTTCTAGAACCAAATTCCATCCAACTTTCGTATTGCTTCTTGATTTGCAAAAAGCTATAAAAAAAGTTTTACTCAATGTGTGTATAACTTCATAAATCGGACCACATTTTGCAATCGAGCTCTTGCATGTGTCAGGAATCTTCGATTTGAAGTTACTGCTCACTATGCGAAATTTTGCGAAAAACACGATGGTGGCACTGATTTTCTCTGAAATCACTTCTAAAGCTCAAAAAAGCTTTCAAAGTTGAGGCCGTAAAGGCGAGAATATCCTACGCTACCCTCTGAGAGTCCACTTATTTGCATATCTAGTCAATCTCTCCATGGGAAGGTAGGGAGCAAATACATTATCCAGGTTGCCGTGTTTTCAGTTTTGGAGTCCTCAAACAAAGTGGCAACCCTGTTAATATATTTGCTCCCTATCTTTGCATGACACTTGTCTTAATATATGGATGGACTCTTAGGGTAGCGTGGGATACCCCTTCATTGCGGCATCAACTTTGACAGCATTTTTTTGAGCTTTGGAGTTGAATTCAGAGAAAACCAATACCGCCATCGAGTCTCTCGCGAAATACAAAGGATTCAGTACTTACATCACAAATTCCTGGCACATGCAAGAGTTCCATATTAGGAACTACAATTCCCAGCTCACTTTAGAAACAACGTATATGCCATTAGCTTCCATATGGAAGTAAGTGTTTTTACACGTGAGTCAGATGCTGTAATCCCTAATTGCTAAATGCAGTCCGATTAGTGTAGAGTCTACTCTATTGGTTCAGGTATGGGTGCAGGACCAGCGCATTTCTTTGTACTTTCCTGTAGAAGATACTTTGAAGACTGGTTTTTTGTATGTTGATATCAGATGGAGAGAATGGAGCTATTTTTGACATGAAGGAACTATTTGGGCACTACACGATGGACGCTATCGCAACCATAGCATTCGGAATCCAGACAGACTCGCTCCAAAATCCTGATTCAGAATTCATTAAGTCTGCTTCAAGATTGACTAGCTTGACTATTTTCAAGCGACTTATGACATTTTTCGTACTCTTGTTCGCACCAAGGCTCACAAAATACCTCCCGATATCCTTCGCCAATCAAGATGTCATGAACTTCCTGGCAAGCGTCGTCAAGGATACTATCAGGCACCGAGAAAGCAGTAACGAAAAGTTAGTGTTATCAAGTAACCAAAAGTGTTGTCAACTTTTTTAAAGGGGGATGTTCTGCAAAAGTCAAAATTTCCCTACGAGGAGAGAGGTTCAAGGGTACAAAATTCTTAAATTCCTCAAAAACGCAGGAAAAGAACCTTATTTTGGTAAAATGTCTGGTCATCATGTGGTAGATAGATCAAGATTTGCAGGATCCCTTCCTTTCACCAAACTGAACTTTAAGTGGGTTTCCAGTTTTTGTTCAATGTCCTGCAACTCTCAACATAGGTGGATCCAGGGGGCGTATTGGGTGTGTGGCCTCCGTTCGCCGGAAAAAAAAAAGGAGGAAGAAAGAGAGAAGAAAGGAAAAAGGAAGGAACGAAGGAGAGAAGAAGGGAGGACGAAAGAAGAAGAAAAAGAAGAAGGGGGAGAAGAAGGAGAGGGGGGAGAAGGGGGAGAAAGGGGGGTTTGATAATTATTCATGACGAAATTGACTCAAACTGCATACTAAATGCTTTTAAATTTCGAAAATTTTCTGGGAGAGCCCCCCTGAACCCCCATACATCCCCTTCTTGGTTTGCGATGTTATACCTCATTTTTTCTCATAACTATTTTACTTATTTTGTGAGAATTATTGATCCCCGTTCGAGCCCAAATAAATTGTGTGCGTGATACTTTCCTTTGCTTCCTAAAAAATATCTGGTGATCTTTTTCCAATTAAAAAACTTTGAATGGAAATTTTGAAACACTTAATCGAGAGACGCGCTTTTTCTAGTTTCATTATCGCGATTTGCAATTGCATGAGCTTCCGTTTTTTTGCAAGGAAAGAGCAGGACAGGGCATATAATGTCGAGCCGTGGCAAAAATTAATTCGGAAGTTGATTCAGTTTTTATGTTATCTGACCCAACCCTACGCTCTACTGCTTTTAGTCGGGCGTCGGACAATCACCTACCTATATGTAGAACTGCGACAGTTGCTGATTGTCATTCCCTGGACAAAGGCCTGAAACTCCATTCCAAGGTTGTAAAGTTGAATCAAACATTACAGTTTTTTATCTGAGTATGACAGTATACGATTTCTATTCAGAATTCTGGTGATTTTTGAGTGCCATTACTTTGAGGTGCAAATAGTGAGATTTTTAGTACGAAACGCCCCTCAGTTCTCTTGTAAAAATAAGTTTTGGGAGGAAAAATTTTGCAACACTGGAATCTAGTCATGTTTTTTCGTCTGGGAAGCGACGAAATGTTTTCAAATTAAGGTCGGAACCCTTACTCTTTGCCCCCTCCCATAATGTAACGACACCTCTTTTTTTTTTGGAAATTTTGATGAGATGTCGTCACTTTCCGGCCAAAGTATCACAAGCGCCATGCGACGTTTCAAAATTTCCGCTGCCATTTTATTTTTTTGCAGAGAAATTGTCTGTTGAATCTGTTTGAAAATGTCACCGAATTTTGCCGGCAGCGCAAAGAAAATCCAGTGAAATTTTCGGATAGCTTCGTTGAACGATTTTTCTTCAAAAAAATAAAATAACGGCGACAATTTTTAAACGTCGCATGGTGCTTGTGATACTTTGGCCGGGAGGTGACGATTTAATCACTTACTCATGCATATTTGAGAATTATCCCTGGTAAAAATTGGCGATAGGAGCTGCGTTTCAAAATACCATAGGAGTTCTTATAGCCGACTGAAGAAGGCGATAGAAAATCATATAGCTGGCTGTAGAAAGTGGAAAAACCCATACGACCGGGCTACACGAAGCGATAATAAATCATACAGCCGGGCTATAGTTCCTATGGACGGGCTTTACACTTTATCGCCTGGCTGTTGCTTTTTCGCCATCGGCTATAAAAGGCTATAAGAAATTGTGTAGAAATTCTTGTGCTTTGTAAATCATTAAGTTTGTACGGAATCACCTTAATATTTACAAAACGCACATTATATTTTCCTTTCCTACATATTTTTTTTTCATCAATTAAAATGAGAATAATCCATACAGAGTGTGCAAATATTTCAAAGTCATGAGTTGAAGAACGCTGACTCCGCGAGATTAAATATTAGAGCCTAACACAAAGCGGAGCGGCGCCGCACTGGCGCCTACAAACCTAACAGGAATACTTCACGCATTGCGCAATGCGTGAAGTATCCCTGTTAGGTTTGTAGGCGCCAATGCGCGTTCAGCGCTGGCTGCCCGACCGCCGCGCCGCGCCGCAGCGTACCGCGGAGCTTGAAGCAACTATTTCACACCAGAGGTATTGCACAGTATCATACGAAATTGAAGGCGCTCCAACATATTAGGAATGGCAGGCATCCTTCAAAAGTACGGGGCTTTCCTCGCAAATTAAATCAAGATACTGCGGCCCAAAAAGAGAGCGGTAGTCCAAAAACTCACTAAGTCCTAGCAACCGTAATTAGTAACGTTTAGCATACACTTTATCGCCAGGCTGTTGCTTAATCGCCATCGGCTATAAAAGGCTATAAGAAATTGTGTTGCCGGCTATAGAAGCTATTGGAAATCTTACAGCCGGCTGTAGGTCTGTGCTATTTTGGAACAGAGATTCTACTGCCAATTTTTACCAGGGATTTTCATAATTATGAATGATGAAGAAAACACCCTGCGTCGAAAATCACTGCTGTGTGCTGTCCTCCTCTTTCCAACCATCCTCTTTTGGGAGGTATCCCTCGTCTCGAATCTGTTCCATATCTGTATACGTACTATGTGCTTTTGATGCCAAACTTCGGCAGACTTTTGCGATGCGCGATTAATCAGAGCTTCCAAATTTGGTTTTCAGACGCGCTGACTTTCTACAGATGATGCTTGATGCGAATGCAGAGGCTAAAGCGGCACAAAAATCCGAAGACGGCAGCGATCGATCTCAGTTTGTCATGGATGAGACAACAATCGTTGCACAGTCGGTTCTGTTTATGGTGATAGGTTTCGATATTTCCAGCAGCCTTCTCACCTTCGCCTCTTACGAGTTGGCTTTGCACGAGGAAATTCAGCAGCGGCTCCGCCAAGAGATCGTGTCAGCCTTGGAGAAACACGGCGAGGAAAACATCTACGAGGCTGTTCAAGACATGCCGTTATTGGAAATGGTTTTCAACGGTAAGGACACACTTGTTAGTTGTTCGGAGTCTTTTAAAAATGGACGCATTTCTGTGGGTTTTTTTTTTTTTTTTTTTTTTTTTTTTTTTTTTTTAACGCGGGAATTGTTTTGTAAGTGTTAGGGTAGAAGCTGGGCTGTACCGTCGATGTTGATAGCAATAAGGACGACTTGGCTCTTTCTCCTGACTGCACTGACAAAAAATTCTCGGCGTTTTTACCAAGGTCCGTTGGTACCTTTACTATCTCACTTTTTTTACCAATTATTGGTAATTTTACCAAGACAGACTGGTAAGCTTACCTAAAAACCAATATTTTTACTGCTTTTTCAGGAAAGAATACCACTTTTATTGGTAATCAATTCCAGGTAACTTTGCCATTTTATCTCGGTAATTGTACCACAGTCGATAAAAAATTTTGGCTTTTTTACCAAGGTCCAGTAAGTTACCGAGAAAACGCAAAAGATCCGGAACATTTCGGGAATTTCAAAAGTTCCGCACTGAAAAAAAAAACTCTCGGCGTTTTTACCAAGGTCCGTTGGTACCTTTACCATCTCATTTTTTTTTACCAATTATTGGTAATTTTACCAAGACACTGGTGAGCTTACCTAAAAACCTGTATTTTTACTGTTTTTTCAGGTAAGAATACCACTTTTATTGGTAATCGATGCCTGGTAACTTTCACTGTTAAAAAAAAACCTCTTGGTTCAAGGGTGCAGTTTCTTGTCGCCAGATTTAAGAGTCTGGACTCTTGCTTCAATGCAAAATCCGCTTGAAACAGGAGTTCAAGACTCTTATATCCGGCGACAAGAAACTGCACTCTTTAGTCAATGCACCGCGGCATTGGTCCAAGAGGTTTTTTTACCAGTGTTGTCATTTTATCTCGGTAATTCTACCACAGTCCATAAAAAATATTGGCTTTTTTACCAAGGTCCAGTAAGTTACCGAGAAAGTTCAATAATTTTACCGAGATTTCTCGGTAAAATTACCAATTCTATAGATGGTAATTTTACCAAGAAAAAACTGGGATCAAATAGAACCCTGAATTCTTGGGAATTTTACCCTTTTCTTAGTAAATACACCGAGATTTTTTTTCAGTGTGATAGTCACTTAAATATTTTATAGGAATTCAAAACCTAGTCATCACGAGAAAAATTGAGAGAGCGAGCAAATTCTGGACGCCTCCCCGCAAAATGGTGGTACATTCTTGTAGAGGGATGATTCCGAGAAATATTTAGTCCTCCTCCACTTTAGTCTATTTTATTCTTTTAAATACCTACAGTGACAGTGGCGATTTTGCAAGTTAGCAACACCGGTTTGCCTCCATTTAAATCCATTAAAAATATCGATTCGAGGTGAAGCAGGCTGCCCTCCCAAGAATCAAGTGTTTTACATGCATTTGAATGAGGGAAAAACATTGTTGCTAACTCTCAAGAATCGTCACTGAATGAATATCTACGATTAATTGTTGACTCATTTTCAACCGCTGAATGAGAAGAACAGGAAACAAGGCACTTTGTTTCCACAACTGTTCACCATTTCTAATAACCAGTTTCCTTCAAAGTTATAACCAAAGCTCCCGGTTTTTAACTGCCTCAAAGTTTAATCGGCGAACAGCGGTCTCGATCGAATTCAGCACGGCGTCGACCCATAAGACATTGACCCCTTTGCTCCTTCATTTAGTTGGATAAGCAAGTTGAACTCCTGATCCTGGGAATTCTGAGAGTTGCTTGAGATACCTAAAAAAAAAACCACCGCAACCACTTTGCCATTTGAAACTCCTTCATTTCGTTGATTATGCAATTTGATTTCCAGAGAGTCACAGAGCTGTTTTTGCTCGCTTTTTTTTTACTTCCAGAGACACTTCGCAAGCATCCACCTCTGGCGAAGATCGATCGTGCCTGCACTGATGACTACACGATTCCCGACACGTCTATAGTTATAGACAAAGGGGTGCATGTTTGCATTCCCGTTCTGGGTCTCCATTACGACCCTGAGTATTATCCTGAGCCTGAAAAATTCATCCCCGAGCGGTTCTCGCCTGAGGAAAAGAGCAAACGTTCACCATACGTGTTTTTACCATTTGGCATCGGACCCAGAAACTGTGTCGGTGAGTATAACATGGACGTATTTCTACCAAACAGACCTATGTGGAGGTGAGAAATATGGGGTGTGCTCGTTAGTTCTCTGGCCGTAAGAGTGAATGGGAATAATAAAGCGCCAGTGACGTCAGTGGCAATGATAAAGCGCACTCGAGCGAGGGGGAGATCGTCGTCGGGGCGCTTTAAGTCATGAGCCCTGTCCACAACGCTCTCTTGCCATGCCCGCGGCTCATGAGTTCCGCATTCAGTTGGCACATAGGTCTGTTTGATAGAATGTACAATCCCGCTTTTCCAATTCTTCAAAAGGAATCACGTCCACTTTTACATTGCTTCTTATGCAGCTTTCTAGAGCACACCCCATATATTTCTCACCTGCACATAGGTCTGTTTGGTAGAAATACGTCCACATAAACGCCTATCTCAGCCTTTAACGCTGCAGTTATTGCCTGTCACAATTTATATTTTAAATTGAAAAAAGTAAAGTGGTTCGATGGACGCTTCATTTTGTGTCAGATCGATTTGCGATATCGATTGTTTCCACTTTTCCAGCTACTTGCAATTTTTTTTCAAATTTTGAGATCGCAATTCTGTTGCTAAGAGACTAAATCGGGCAATTTAATTTTTGCATGAAACCGGTTGTACGGATTTTCGTGCCAAATTCAGTGCATTTTCTTCCATAATACGAAACAAATCCCTTAAAATTTGAAAGTAATCCGAACAAACGTTCTCTCATAAAAAATTAAATTGCTCAGTTACATTTGGCAACAGCTGATGTGGCTTGTTTCCTTTCTGTCAAACGCGGTCCAAACATACCTTAATCGAACTGAAAATGTTCTAGTTTTCAAACCACCGATGTCCTTTTAGACGGAATGGAATTTTTTAGGTATTTGCACAAGGAAAGATATCTGTAAACAGTCAGGCTTATACTCACATATTCAGTATTGAACCAAGTAAATTTTCCTATTTTATTCTTGTATTATGAATCGTTTCTTTTTTATTTTACAGCGTCACGATTTGCCCTGCTGAGTACGAAAGTAGCAATGGTTTACCTCCTGAAGAACTTTGAGATTAGCATATGTGAAAAAACTCAGATACCCTATAAATACAGCCGATTTACCATGTTGCTGAAAGCCGAGAAGGGGATTTGGTTGAATATTAAACCATTATAAGATTATTTTTCTTCTTAATTTTTATTTTTTAATTTTCTTTTTATATTTTTTATAAGGAAAAAAAATTGTAGAACCCTTGCACCTGCAAACCAAAAAATACAGATACATTTTTTTACTCGTGCAGACCCGCAGTTTGTATACTACATTGATCTCTGTAGCCTCAATAAATACACATTTCAAAAATCACATTCATATTAATTTTTTTTATACGAGATTTTGGCCTCTGCAAATAAATATACTAAGAAAACAATAACCCGAACCCCCAAAGGTGAAGAGACCTTTTTACTCATAAACAGAAATGAAATAGTATGGAGGATGCGTATTTTGAAAAGGAGTGCTAAAAATCTGAACCAAGAAACGATAGGTGTACTTCTTTTATTCCTTTGATTCAAAGGGTAGGGGGGGTGTCTGAGTACCTATAAGAAAGAAAAAACTCTTCAAAAATCGAGGAGGTAACTATGAAAGTAAAAAAGTACTCCTACGGAACAAGTCCTAAGAAAAAAATCTACGTAAAGTAATCCCCTATATATATATAGCCCTACGGAAAAAATCCTAGAAACTCGTATTCAAAAAACTGCGTGTAGTTCCTTGAAAGACGGCACGAAAATAAACTAAAACATGAGAAGTGGCGTATAGCGTTGCGATCAGAAAATAAATACGCTTTATTTCGCATGCAGGGGTCGTCGATATTCGGATGCATTTACGGCAGGCGTAACGAGATAACTATCCAACCACGGGTGAAGGCATATTGCCGCTAGCCGGATTGAAGGCGCGTCACCCTGCGAAGGTGGCTCCATCGCGTTCCCTTCCCTTGCTCGCGCGACGTCGAAGTCGCCGCAAAAATTGGACTACGGGTCATTATTTTTGACTTTTTTCCCGGTGTGTACGATAATTAAAGGGAAAATATTACAACAATTGTCCAGAAACTCGGACGATGTTAGATCGTTTCCTGTTTTTAAAAAAAATGGATTACCTAGAACACACGAAAATATCCCGTCGAAATTTCCTTTGATTTATTTGAAATCATTAGGAAAAATCGCGGGAACTTTACAGCAAAGCTGTTCGGCTTTTTAAAAAAATTGATTAAAAGTAAAAAATTAAAAGTGGTGCATAAAGTTTCAATCAGAGATGAATACGCTTAGGTATACGTTTTCTTCCGCGTGCACCCGTCGGCATTTGAATTCACTCATCTTGTAATGAGAACAGGCGCTAGCGAGCCCTCAACCCCAAACGACCCACCCCCACCCTAAACTAACCCACCCACCATGCTCATCGCTGAGCTTTTAACTTCTTCGCTTGAGCATGGAGTCCAATATCAAGGAAACCTCCCATAGTCTTAACGCCGATCCATTCTTCATCATAACAGAACATAATATGTATTTCTAATTTCTAATATAATCCAACTTGAACTAACCTAACCCAACCTAACCTAACCTAAACCTAACCAATGAACAATCTCCTGCGAGAAAACATTTTTTCGTCTTCATTTCCAAAAAATTGTTTTGATAAATTTTTGGACTCCGTGATCGTCTAATGTCAGAGAATATTTGCATCCCACAATCTTGGACGCTATACTCACTTTGATTTTTCGAAAAAAATATTCCTCATTAAAGTGCGGAGCATGGAGTCTAAGATCTTGGACGCGATGAGCAGCCAAGGTGAGCATGGAGTCCAATATCATGGACGCAATACGTTACATTACCCTTACGAGAGCTTTAACTGCGAGAGATTTAACTGAGATTTAACCAGGACCGGATTTACTTAATTGCCGCCCCCTTCTCATTCGTTTTGAAACATCAATAAAAACCATCAAGTGGACGTTCCGGAGGAGGAGGGGTGTATAAGACGCGTTTACTCGTGTTGGACATATTTTTTGCGAAAGCCCTGTTAACACTACTAGCAAAAGTTCACGGAACTTGGCTTGGCGCGAAAATTAAGTTCCGTAAACCTATTTCTGTGTGGACAAAGCTTTCCATTTATATGAAATGAACGGGAAAATTACGAAAGAACAAACATAAATGTGGTTTAATAATTTTAACTTCCGCCGCTGCGCCGCCCTGACCCTGCGCTGACCGCATACTGTGTCTGACGCAATGCGTGAAGTATTCATGCAGTCTTGTAGGCGCTATGCGTTTCACGCCGCCCGCCGCTGACCGCAGAGACCGCACTGTCTTTAGCGCAATGCGTGAAGTATCCATGCAGTCTTGTAGGCGCTAATATGTGTTACATGCCGACCGCCGCGCCGCGCCGAGGGTTTCTCCTTTTCATCTCAAGTTCTTGTCATCATTGCGCTCTCTGCGCCGCACCGTTTCAGGCCAAATTCCGTGTTCGGCCTCTCTCTTAGTCTTAACTCGACTAATTAAAGGTGCTGTCTAATGCATCACAGAAAGACGACAAAATTAGAGATGTACTCTCAGAAAATGAGAGATTTTGTCACATTTTCTCGTTCGGAAATTTTTTTTTTTTTTCTAAATCCGATTTTTCTTTATAGCTACCTACATACATTTAAGAAAATTGCAAAATTTGCCACTCCCTAAATTTGCCGCCATGGGCCGCGGCCCATGTGGCCACGTGAGTTTTAACTTTACGCTAGAGAGACCTGGTGGAAATTCGCCCCCCCCCCCTTCCCATTGGATTTAGAGTGCGAAATCACTCAGAATTCAATCCTCCATTCGTTTTTTTTTTTTCTTTCAGTTTTTTTCTGTTGTAGTTTGCCCCCCTCAGTATTCTTCTCAGGTTTCCCCAGCCCCGTTAATAATTTGAATATGTTACTTATTCACGGATTTTTTCGTGTAGTTTCCTTCCAGGCCGCTAGTTCAAATTGTAAGAAGGAATTAATTTCCGGAGTTGAGAACCGGGCATTAGTTTTACCGTAACTTTGGCAACTAAGTATAGTCAATGAGAATAATTTTTCATTCACATGGCAACATGGCAATCCGGGAACAACAAACAACAAAAAGCTGCAGAAAAACTTTTAGAGGTTAGAGTGCACTGCACTGATAATGTGAATTCATGAATTGTGATTCGTGATTGTCAAAATAACCGATCTCTGGTCAATAGCACTGATCTTGTTCGATGTTTGTTCTCATTTTTTCATCTGCTTGTATTCAAAGGTAATATTTTCACTTCTAATCATTTCCTCTTGTACTTTTACTTAGAATCGGCAACTCGTTTTACAGTGCTGAAGTAATTTGGTGCACACGCTGAGTAAAGATCAGTTACTGATGTTACAGTGCCTTGATAGATTGGTCTGATAATAGTAGCCTTGCAGACATTGAAATATTTCTTTCCCATCTTTAACAGTCAGTAACATCAGTCATGATCATATTACATGTTTTGAGATTCTTTTCACGCCAGGTAACACTTTCGGAAATACCTACTGCGGTATCCTTGCTGGAATTTTTGACGGAATGAGCAGTTTGTTTCAGCAGCAGTGATTGTGGAATCAAGAATATTTGTCAAAGGCAAACAGACGTTGTGAAGTGACCTGGAATTTAGAATAATTTTTATTTAGTTTCATGAAGCAGGTTTGTGTAAGTAAGAAGGACTACTTTGTAGGTTGAACGAATTCATACCTATTTCCTAAATTAAAAGCTCGTTTACATTAGGAACCTCTCCCTTATAGTTGGATACTGTCAAATGTTCATCTATCATGAGATGGCTCCTTGGTCCCGTGAGAGTTTTTGGGAAAGATTGTATCGCCCTTAAAAAAAATCCATAGAACTCTCTCACTTTCACATGCGTTCCTTTCATTCAAAGAACAAGTGCAGCAGATGATTTTGAAATCCAAGGCGGAGAAAGAATGGTGGTCTCATTTGATTTTGGCTGTCGTCTTGAAGCGTTGTGATGTCAGGAGGGTAAAGTTTTTGCCGTGCAATCCGAGGTTGAGCCGGCCTCGGCTGGCCCATGTACCCAATACTGTCCAGAGGGTACGAAATGAGACCACCATTCTTTATCCTCCTTGTTTGAATTTAAGAGGTACCTACATATTGATGGCAAAAGTGTAGAACCTTGTATGGGATATAGCAGAATTTCTATCACACATATTTAATTTTGTCTTTTGAAAACTGGCCGTGTAATTTATCGAAAATCTTCACAATTTTTTTTCACTGTTAGCAAAATATTCCACATAAATTTTGAACTGTACAAATGGCTTGTCTCTCTTTAAAAAAATAAAGTATGAGGGGAAATTCTGAAACACTGCGATGGAGATTTGTGGTTTTGCACTTTGATCATTGATGTGCTGCATCCTAAAGGAGAGTGTCAAGTTACATCATAATTATAATTTTTTTTTGTGAAATAGAAGCTCTCATTATTTTTCTCCTTTGTTTTCCAGGCTTTTGAGTCGTGAGATTTTACTGTACTAACTCAGAGGCTGTTGCACAAGAAATCAAAATGTCTGAATTTCTCAGGAAAATATGGCTTCCTCTCGTAATGTTTATCATAACGTTTCTCTACTGGCATTATACAAAAACGTTCAATTACTGGAAGAAAAAGGGTGTCTTCTACTTCGAGCCTATCATCTTTTTTGGAAACATCAAAGATCGAATTTTGTTCCGTAAGGCCTTTCATCAGTTTTGGCTTGATACTTACAAAAGCATGAAAGGTCACAAATTTGCAGGTAAGTAAATGATACCAGCCAACAATTTCAAAATCACATTTTTCTTTAACAAATTTGAATTTTATACGTATGATCCAACCCAACCACATAATTTTATTACCTCTAAGGTTTTCTTGGTTTTAATTAAATTAACCTATTAACCTACAGGAATAGCAGAATAAAGTGGGAGAAAAATTACAAGAGAGGAGGTAATGTAGCATTTAAACCCTTGTAATGAAGCTATATCATGTCACATGGCTTTGCAATTTATGCACACTCTGTAATGTAAAATTTTGCTTGAAATTCAAACGCTGTCCCACAATGACCCGGACTGATGCTGTAACTCGAAAACTAATCAACAAAGGAATCAAGCTGGCCCTGGGCTCATTCAAAAGATAAAGTCAAAAGGTAGCAGATAAAGTACATAAGCGCTAAAGTACATTTTATTTGAATGAAAATTGACAAAGTTTTGACACTTTAAAAACAGTTACTCACCATAGCATATAGCAGACTTATTTAAACTGCTAGGTGAGGCTATAATGTATCATTAATATTGGTGACAGAGAGGCTGCTTCTCATCCTTCATGCTCAATCTCCCTTGATTTCTTTCAGGGTTCTATGAAGGCAGACGGGCAACTTTAGTCGTCCTTGACCCAGATATTATCAAATCTGTGCTCATTCGAGATTTCAGCCATTTCATGGACCGTCCAACTTTACAGCTCAGGTACCCGTTGATACAGAGGCAACTGCTGAATCTCAAAGGCCAAGAGTGGAAAAAAGTAAGGTCGATGCTGACACCCGCTTTCACGTCTGGAAAACTCAAAGCAATGGAAGTGTTACTTCAGCAGTGTGGCAAACAGGTTAAGCAGTATCTTAACAAAGTCACAGGTATGTAAAATTTGTTCATTGCTCGCAAGAGGTTGCACATCTTAGTCAGTGTGACAAGTTTATTTTTTTATTATTTAAGAATGAACTGAGTTTTACAGAAATGTACAGAGTTGCATCAAGTTTGAACTGGGTAAAAGAGGTTTGAAGTTTTACCTCTCCATAAGACTCGATGTTGAGGACAAAATTTTATTTACAACTATTTTCATGTTTAAAATTGTTTTTCTTGTCTTTTTTTTTTAGCCCTAAAATTTTCACAAGAAAAAATTTAAGAATAGTTGAATTCAAAACTACTCACTATTTTTAGCATAGGAAGCATGAAAGAATAGTTGACTGCTCACAATTCATTCTTTGTGATATTGGAGAATGTTTTCTGTTGAAAATTCAAATTCCAATTTTTCAATTTAACTTAAGAAAAAAAGGTGCTAAATTTATTTTGCCTCCATAAGCTGAAGTTTCTCCTCCCTTGGATGATTGCATTTCAAGATTTTACACATACATTAAGCTGCTTTCACAGCGCAGCCTCGCACTCTGCGACGCCCAATCGTCATTGCCCCCTATCCTTCCAGTGATCAGCAGGCAATTGGCACCTTCTGATCTCCTCCTTCACTCCTTATTGCCAACCTTTTACCTACAGGACGTCGCCTTCTTGGAGGAACCCAATGGGAAACCTGCTTAGGCAAACGATCGTCTGCCAATTTCAAGATTTTATCTTTCAAAAAATTATGAGATGGAAGAGGAGGGTCTTCCCACCTTCAAGGCTCAATAATTCAAGTATTGCATTAATCAACTACTCCAAAATTTTAACAGTATTTATTTATTTATTTATTTGCCTTTTTTTGTCTTTTCGTTAGATGGAAATGATGGAGCTACTCTTGAAATGAAAGAGTTTTATGGGCATTTCACCATGGATGTTATTGCAACAGCAGCTTTTGGAGTGCAAACGGACTCACTTCAAAATCCTGACTCGGAATTTGTGAAATTTGCGTCTCGATTCAATGATTTTTCACGTTTTGAGAGATTTATGATCTTCTTTGTGCTCATATTCATCCCACAGTTTGCCAAGTATCTTCCAATAACTTTCTTCAATATGGAAGTTATGAACTTTCTAGCAAGCGTTGTTAGAGATACTATTCAACACAGAGAAATTAGGAATGAAAAGTTAGTACTTATTTTTGATGCTTTTGACTTCCAACTCATATTTTATGAACAGAGGGACAATACCTTTTTGAGAATGATATGAATCCCATTGGCTTGTCCTGAGTTGCTCCCTTCCTTTTTTTAGCCCCATGTATCTGGTAGCATCCAGTAGAGATATTGTATTTTCATTACATATTAGCCGTTGTTTGGCATCTCTGCCTTTCAACACAATCTAGGACTTATGCCAAAATGCAGGTAGTTTTCTTTTTTGAGGGGCTGCCCTTTTTGTTTTTCAAATATCTCAGAAATGCTGGGTCAGAAAATAAACATCATTTCAAGCAGAGGACTAAATGTAGTATCCTCAACAGTAGTGAAATGGTTGGAATTTTGGAAGTTGAAACAACTAATACATAAATGGGAACTTTCAAGGACTGCGTATCGATGGTGAAACTGCAGGAAGAAGTGTCTCATTCGCAGTATTTCAAAGTCTTTGCTCCCATTTCATTTTATTGAAGGAGAATAAACTAAAGCCATTGCATAATATTTTCACAGATCATTCCTCACATAGAGATAACAAAGCAGGAAAGTTTTCAAGAGGTGACATCAAGTATCTTTCCAATTAAAAAATTAAGTATTACAAGAAGCCTGCAACTTCCCAAACTAAGATACGCATTCCTGCAGTTTCACTGTCGATATTTATGAAGTGCACATACATTAGACATATTTGAAAATTCCTATTTTCTTTCAATTTCCATTGTACCTAGATAGGTTTTTTCAGCAATAATGGGCCGAAATATCTGGTCCCCAGTTGTTTGATCCAGTAGTTAGCGATGCACTCAGCATCATCATTCAATACCTTTTTTCTGATGTAAGACAAAGGCTCATAGTTGGATACCCACTTAATCTTTCAGGCTATAACTTGCAAATTTTCTTGAAACAGTGGTGATTCTTGCAAGTTGACAACACTAGATGTTGTCCATGTAAGTGAATATAGAAGAATCAGAATTGATTCTTCATGATGGATTCAAATAAAGGGAGAACAGTGTTGCTAACTTTCAAGAGTTGCACCTACTATCAATTAAACGCAACTAATTTTATCTCAGATTTAATCATTATTTTTTTTTATCAAATAGAAGGTGGTTGAGCTATCTATCAATCTTGTTTAAGTAATTAGTTCAAGTGGATTGCTTTTTGCAAAAAAGAACCACTAGCATTGCAATGTTGCTAAGATTGTGCAACTTCTTTTGTCTTGGAGGAAAAACCCGATTATCCCTTAATAGTTTCTATTTTACTCGCTAAAAACTGTAAATTTAAGACAAAAATTACCATCTAAATTTCATAGTTTTTCACGATTTCAGCAATTTTATCGCAAAAGATGAATTTGCACAATCTTAGCATCATTGCAATGCTAGTGGTTCCTTTTTGCAAAATGCAATCCAAGTGTTTATGGGTAGAGCCTATATTCACCCGAAAAATTAATTCTTTATTTTCGCTAAATTTAATCAATTTTCTAAAATCTGTCAATTGACAGAAGAGCTGAAGACTTAAACTCTTTTTCATTCGCTCGTTTGAAAGATTGATGCAAGCAACCAAAGTGTTTAATAGACACAAGGCTAGAAACATGACGATTGGTGCATTAATTACATCCCTTAAGTTTTGACCAACAAATTGTCTTCAACAACAACACATTCTATTAAATTAAGGTTGGACTGGGTTCAAACCTATCAAAAAAATTGTTTGATGTGCCAAGAAAAGGGTTCTTTTTGCTCTAGTGAGCTTTTGTGTCTCCCACAGTCACTTTTTTTAAGCTGCCTCTGACTGAAAGTTTCCAATAGTGTCCCTGAGTCAGCTCTTGTAATGGGTTTCCCTCTTTAGCTATTCTTGTGTAAAATAGTTCTGATCCTTGTGCAGCTGATTTCAATGGGCCACCAGACGAGGTCTGAATTAATGTCAAATGTTTCTCTTCAAAATTTTATATAGAAAGCAATTCTTACAAAGGAAGTTCAAGAATTAATTTCTGAACGAGATATCAACAGATGACACAGATTGAGTGATGGTTAGATTAAATGAATGTTGCCATTTGTATTTTTGTCATTTGACCTGTATTAATTATTAACTCTCGTTTCTAGACTTCCTGTTGTGTGATTCGTTGCCCTAGTGAAATTTTGAGGAGGAAATATGTTGCGTAATGTTTCAATTCATACTTTTTCCAGAGGCCCATTCCTTTTTTGCTGCACTAGCCTTCATGCTTTTGAAATTTATTATGCAGCTCTGTTTCAGTTGTATTTACTCTATCAAATTTTATGTATGTTTAATTTTACTATTTGCATGATGAACCTCATTTTAAACTTAGGAATTTGCTTTTCCAGGCGCAATGATTTCCTGCAGTTGATGTTGGATGTAAATGAAGAATCAAAAGCCAAAGAAAAGATTGGTGAAGGTGATGGTAATTCTCATTCCGTCATGGATGAAACGACAATCATAGCGCAGTCAGTACTGTTCTTGGTTGCAGGTTTTGAGACCTCTAGTACCCTCCTGACGTTTGCTTCTTACGAATTAGCATTGAACAAGGAAATCCAGGAAAGACTTCGGGAAGAAATTCGGCTAACCTTGGAAAAACACGGAGAGACCAATATGTATGAGGCGATACAAGACATGCCATATCTAGACATGGTTTTAAATGGTACGTGTGACTCGTATTTTTATGCAAATTGGATGAACCATACTTTATTTTTATTTTTTTGTAATTAATAATGTCTAAATTAATACACTAGCACTCCATGTGTTGTCTCATAATAATTTGGCTTTTATTTTGTACAATGAATGATAGATAGATAAATAGAAATTATACTTTATTCTTACCTCTTCGGGTATATAAAGTTACAGAGATTTTACTTTTATAAACTTATGAAAAATATATTCTCATCATCTCTAGTATTTAAAATTATAAAACTATTTAAAATCAGAGCTTTGGGAGGATAAGGCACTTCGGCTGCTAGTGTCGTAGAGTGCCTGAGAGCACTATCAAAGCAGCGTTTATGTATATGTATATTTAAAATCATAAATAATAAATGATGAAATAATGCTATTACTCCAATTCAGCATTCCTCCAGAATTTGAGGATTGCCAGATTTCTTGTCAAATTTTCATCGAAACTCCATTATCTTCCTGATTATCACTGGATATTTTCTTTTTAAATTGAACAGAAGCTCTCCGCAAGCACCCTCCTCTTGCAAGGATTGACCGTTCTTGCACTGATGACTATACAATTCCTGGAACGTCTATAACGATTGAAAAAGGAATAAATGTAACAATTCCTGTGCTTGGCATTCATTACGACCCTGAATATTACCCAGAGCCAGACAAATTTATCCCTGAAAGGTTCTCCCCTGATGAAAAGAGTAAACGTTCACCATATCTGTTTTTGCCATTTGGTGCTGGACCTAGAAACTGTATTGGTAAGTAGTGAAGAAAATGTATTCATCTTAATGAAAAATAATGTCTTAACATTATTTTGTTACTCTTCTATTTTGGGCTTTTGATGTTTTTTTTTTTTTTTTTTTTTTTTTTTTTTTTTTTTTTTTTTTTTTTTTNTTTTTTTTTTACTCAACAGACAATAAGTCCCTACAGTTCTCAAAGTCATGTTATCGGATTATATAACAACACCTGTCTTTTACGGAGACTTATAATTTAACAAAAAAATTACTAATTTCATTTAAATCCCATACATAGGTATATTACACATCAGGATAGAACATGGGGACCAAGAGCCAGAAATTGAAAATTCCCTTGACTCTGCTTTCATTGAGAGAGTTCTGGAAGAGCCCGACAAAATAGAAAGTTAGGTGAGGTCAAATTATGTAAATGGATGTTAGGCCATGATTTGAAAAGTTTTCCCGAAGAATGAGAGGAATGTCAAAACAATATAACAAAATTATTTTCTAGTTTTCCATTTAAATTGTAGGGAGAAGACTTGTTCTATCGTAGATAGAAGATAATGACGATTTTAATGAGAAGTACTTGCTGAAGGGTAGCGGAAGGAGAGATACAAAATGTGAATAATTGCCAGGTTTAATTGACCATGAGTCTCCAAAAGATTTTTCATCAACTACGAATATCAGATCAAGCATCGAAAAGTTCTTGTATTTTTAACCTTTTATTATTTAAAAATCATTCATAATTATGTGTTTTTTTTTTTTTTTTCCTAGGTCTAAGGTTTGCAATGCTAAGCACAAAGATAGCAATGATTTACCTCCTCAAGGACTTTGAAATCAACACATGTGAAAAAACCCAAATTCCTTACAATTATAGTAAATTTTCCATGCTCTTGAAAGCTGAAAAAGGGATCTGGCTGAAGATCAAACCTCTGTGAAAAAAGAGTCGTCTTCTATTCTGGCTACAAAGCATATTCTGAAGTACACACCTGTTTAGGATAAATCGCATGTTCTTTCATGGTGAGTCCATGTTGCCTTAAGCTACTTTCTTATCGCTTATTCAAAGCGTTGGCTGAGGGTTGACTTTAAAGATGAAGAGTCTTCTTATCGTACAATGGTCTGAACTCAAGAACACAGTTTACGCCTCTATTGAGTTGGCCAGGTATGGAGATTGGAACGGTAGGATCTTGGGAATACCGGTCGATTGCTCCACACTGTTCGCGATCTCGTTCCACTCAGAAAATTGCTCAAGAGACAACATCTTGCCTATTTTTATACTTATGCCCGGATGCATACCTAGCCCATTAGTTAGTTTGAATACACAAAATTGCACACGCAAAGGATCTTACAGCAAAAACTCCTGGTAAGAATTTAGGACTTTTGTCAAATATAGATACAATCACTTCAACACTCAATTGGCCACCGCGTCTGGGAGGTGTAAAAAGTGATAACTCTGGATTTTTAGCTTTTTCCAGTCGCTGGAGGCAATGTGTCCCACCAAGATATACTCAAAATTGTCACAAGCAATTCCCCCCATTTTCAAGAAAGATGAGTATTTTATTATCCTATTATTTGTAGAGTTAGAGGCTCAATAATTGCTTCAATATAACAGTAATTATACAAAAGAATGTCATCCTTATCAGGTTATTAACACCCATTACCTTAACTGTGGCACCATCGTTTTCTTTGCTGATTACCAAACCGGGGACGAGCTTGCCCTCATAATTTACTATTACATAAGAATTGACTTGGATCAGATCCCTGTCGACCCCGTCATTTCGTTTCGGGCTGGGCGAAGATGGGGTGTTGACAGCATCAGAGCATCGTAGCAGTATCACAGGTATTTGAAGGGTCTTCGCATTGGGGGAAAGGTTTCACACCAGGTATATTTAGTAGGGATTCTTGGGAATTCTCGACCAATGGAATGTCCAAAAAATCTAAAGCTGCCACGTCGAACAATCGCCTCACACATTTCACAGGACGGTTCTGTTTTGTGGATGTAAATGATGGTGTCGCCATAGTTCTCATGTTTTTGCTGGCTGCTTAACAAGACAAAAGAAAAAGAAAAACCATTGGTAGAAAAGGAAACTTTATAGTCCCACAGAACATAACTAAATCACGGTGTCTACTGAACGGAAAAAATATGGACACACAATACTCAAGCGACTTTTGAAAACGAGAAGCAACTCATCGATGCACATATTTTGAAACGGAATGAACAGAATTTTGAATTTGGCGTTGATGTATTCATAAACAAAGTTAATTTTAAACATATACTATCGTTCTGCGGTTGGTTCACATTGGATGAAGAATGTAACAGATTCAGAATAGCCAAGAACCGATCACGAGCTGTCAATTTAGAAAGAATGTGAATTTGGAGGATAGATCTTGGTGACCAACAGTCCTTCATGCGGTTTACCTAAGGGAATAATGGATGCTGATGATCCGCTGAATACAGTAGGCACTGCATTAACATCCAATCTTAATTTTCCTCCTTTATCTGTCTTCAGCATGCTGTCTTTGAAGTGCTTTAAGCAAACCTTGCAGTTGTTGTAAGCGTACAAACAGTCTTGGCTTTCCAGATCATGATGCTTTGTTTTCTCGATCCAAAGAGCTAATCTGGAATTGAAAAGAAGAAGAAATTAAAGAGTGATGATGATCGTTCGGTGACAAAAAAAAAAAGAGAAGAGGGTGGATGGTGGAGGGTGGAGAAGAGGGTTGGAAATAAGAGTTCGGATCTAGATTAGAACTCAAGTTCGCACTATGTCGTCAAAAGTCTTATAAAAAAAAGAAGGACATCGCAGATGTTATAGCCAGAAATGTTTTCCGCACCTGTTGCTCTTTGAGTAGGAACAACAAACTACAGAGAGACGTGGATCAAATAAGGGCACCGGAACTTTTTGAGATGAATTCGATTATATTGTCGGAAAATCTGAGCACAAAAATCACATAACAGTTCGGAAAATAAATCACTTAAAAGAAAAACAAGATGTCGCGAGAGAGGGCACAAAATTATTGAAGGGCGTGAGAGAGAGAGTGTACCTGTATGTTCCACGGGTCTAGATGTTCTGAAAAATTCACAAGAGTTCAGAGAGATGGAATAAGGTGACAGACCTAGATTTTAGGGCAACCCACGCTTATATAGTCTTGCTGACGTCACGGGTGGTGAGACAACAAGCCTACGCGTGATTGGCTGGCTATAATCTATGTAGCTATCAGCTGCAAGTTCAGTAATTAAAATTAATGGTTGATTGGTTGGTAGATACGTTTATTTGGTGCTTTTAACAATTAAGCCATTAACACCTTAGAGGAGAGATCAAAATAGTATAGTACAGAACTTAAAACTTTAAAAGGTAGGGGTCACAAAAAGGTAGTACAAAATTAAAAGTTGGGACAAGGAAAGAATACATTAAATTTGGAGATTAATTCGTTTGAGAAAGAGAGGGATTTCACGAAAATACTTTGAAAGGATAGTATGGAGATCAGAAAGTGCAGGGAAAATTTTGGATCTTAATTGTTGATATGTAGGGCAAGTTATTAAAACATGTTTAACTGAGAGGGGGACATTACAAGAGATGCAGGTTGGGGATTGGACTTTCTTGATTAAATATTGGTGGGTGAAAGACGTGTGCCCAATGCACAGCCTGGTTAATTTTACTTGATCTGCTTGTGGTAAACCAGAAAGTTGAGGGAATATGGACATTGGAAGATTTTTATGTTGGCAATACACTGTCCACTCTAGTTGCCAATTTTCGAAGATTTCTCTTTTGATATAATTGTTGAGGTCTTCGGCTGTGACAGTCAGGGGGAGGAAGGGGCCAGCGGATGAAGCGGCTTCTTTCGCCAGAGTATCCGCTTCCGTGTTTCCAGCAATGCCTACATGTCCCGGGCACCAGCAGAGAGCAATTGAGAAATTCAGGGAGAGAAGATGATGTAGGGAATTTTGGATTTGGATAATGAATGGATTGGAACCAGGGACAGTTTGGAGAGCAGACGGAACACTCAGTGATTCAGAGCATATAATGGCATTTTTACCTTTGATGTACAAGAAGATAGGAAAAAAAGGCTTAAAGAAATTGAAAAATGGACTTTTTGAGAGCTGGGAAAATGTGAAGAAAAGTGCATTGGAATATGTTGACAGGGTGTCTAGGATAATGACGTTCAATAGAATCTGAAAGCGATGAAACAACTAATTAGTAAAATTTAAGAAATTGCATTGTGACTAGGAGCCATACTGCAATAAATAAGTTCACTTAATTTAAAGTTGAACTTATTTTTATCGGGCTGCATTATGTTGATGAAATTACCTTTCTCCCGATCACTTTTTATCCGGTTTTCAGACGATAGCTATTTCGATGTTAATCATCATCAGGTCACTTCGACTTCGACTTCGGTAAACACTAACAGTCACATCTTATATTGTTAAAATTTACTATAAAACTATAAGTTCACTTGCCGTCACATCTTTCCACTTGATGAGGTAAAATAATTCTCCAACAAGAAATTTTACTCGAAGTATTATCACCCATATACGTTCAATACTCAATGGTCTCCTTAGCAATGGTGCGTCGCGGGGAGCGCTAAGGCCGATGTGAGCCCACCAGTGGGGGGGGGGGGGGGGAGGGCTCAAGATGTGAGCGGGAGTGGACCCTGTTGCACCGCGCACGAGCCCTGGTTTGGCGTCGCGGCCCGCGGTCCGGGGCTAGGTCCAAGGGCTGTTTAGACGTCACCTTTTGCACCTTATGGGTGTTGAATTTTTTATCCTTTGCTTTGTCCTCGTCGGTGGGTTTCTTCCAGGATCCCTCAGCTATCGCGAAAATCCCGGCCGCTCTAAGGATGACTGTTATTTGGAATTTCCATAATTGAAAATTGTCTGCGTCTCTGAGCTTCTCGACGTCTCGGACCTCGATTTTCTTTACAATGCTGTCCGCCGTTTGACTCGAACACGAAAAAGGTTTTTAGGTTTTCAAGTTTTTATGCTACCCGAACACAAAAAAGAATCGGTTTTAGGTTTTCAAGTTTTTAAGCTGCCCGAACACAAAAAGAATCGGTTTTAGGTTTTCACGTTTTTAAGTTGCCCGAACACAAAAAGAATCGGTTTTAGGTACGTCTTGCAGCCCGCATCTCTTGCTCTAGTTTTCGGCATTTTTTGAGAGAGAAACAAATAGCCATCAGCGCAAATAGGAGCGCGAAAAACGCGTAGAGCGCGAAGTCGTGGACGTCGAAGTCATTGCGTATTTCTATGGTGCTTTCGTCACCGAAGAATGACCAACTCATTTTCACTTTTCACTTTTATTTAATAACCGCAAAAAAACAAAAATTGCGCATAAGCTGGGGCCGATAACCTGTCGCGCAGGGGGTATGGTCAATCACTTGCGAGGCTTAGTTTTTGGAAACGTACAAGTAGTTTTATTGATAAAACATACGGGGTCGAGGCGAGACTCTTACAGACTGACTGAAAAGAAGAGAGAATAAAGTGAAGCAAACACGCCTCGGCCCCGTATGTTTTATCAATAAAACTACTTGTACGCTTCCAAAAACTAAGCCTCGCAAGTGATTGACCATACCCCCTGCGCGACAATGGGTGCCTCATCTTGTCACATCCCCCCCCCTCCTCTGGGAAGGCCAAGTTAAGCTTGGGCTTAATGTCGTTGGTGACGTCGCACAGCCTAAAGGCTTCTCTAAGGACCCGCAACGCCTCCTTCCACGCAGTGGCGTGGCGTGCTTTGCGATATATCGATTGATACGCCACTCAAACCTATGAAAAAAGATCGATTATCAGGGTGTTCGCAGCGAACACCTTAGTAATCGATTCTTCACCACAGCTCCAAATGGCGAGAGATCGATAATCGATCATTTACGCCACGCCACTGCTTCCACGTAGAGTCTTCCCGTCCTTGCGTTTGTCTTTGCACCTGTGCTTGGTTTTGGGTGACCAATACAGTCACCGGAGTGGTGACTGTGGGGGTCATATGGGGTTGACCTGAGGTCGATGTATAGTTCGCATCTTTGGTTTGCGTACAAGCCGACGTATAGTTCGATTCTTCGGTTTGCGTACAGGCCGATGTATAGTTCGATTTTACCAACCGTATTTCAAGGTATGAAATGAAATACAGAGGAGGGAAAATAAAAAAAAAATAAAATAAAATAAAATCCAATGAAAACTCGGTGTCAGTCAACGCAAAGACATAAGTTGTAAGGTATAGGTAAGGTTATAAAGTAGTACAGCAAAAATGAAGAAAAATATAAAAATCTTCTAAGCCTCTCATTAGCTTCAACACTAACTTCTCATCATCATTTACCTCATAAAGAGCATTCAGGGACAAAAAAAAAAAATAAATAAATAAGCACGAGAAACTCTTCTAGGGCTCCTCTTCGGCTGCAGCGTTGGCTAACTTTTCATCTTCTTCAAGGTTTTTCATGAACTTTTTAACCATACTACAGCTGCCATTAAATTGGGTGGTGACAAGAAACAAAACTTGTTGAAGAAAAATGTAGGAAAATTTCACCTCATTGGGGAAATCCGCATGCAGAGCAACGCATGCTTTATAAACAATGTCTAGTGCTCTTACTGCTGATTCAACCCTGTAAAAAACGTTGTTGACACATACATAGGATTTGCAGTTTTCAAGTGTCTTTACTAAGGCTGGAAAGGGCTGGACTGTTAGACCGAACTCGGCAATCAGGTTTAAACCCAAGTCTCCACCATGCGACGCGGGGGACGCTAAGGCCGATGTGAGCCCACCAGTGGGGGGGAGGGGGGGGGAGCGAGGGCTCAAGATGAGAGTGGGTTGCTTATCCGCAATGCGAAGGCTGGTGAAGCTGTGTTGGCAGAGGGTAGCAGGAAGCAGGAAAAACACTAGGAAGTTCGTGGCACAATATATGTATGTATAATCCAGATACACCGTACACAGTATATCGAGATACACCACTAGAGAAGGATCGAGATAGATCACAATAAGGTCACAGTAAGGATCACAATAAGAGGCGAGACAATCTTTACGCGCGGAGGGCTCTCGAACTGGGGGCTCATACGCGATGTCGCGAGGGTACGGGTCATACACCGGTTAGGAAGACACTAACTGGCCGCGGGCAAAATCGGGGGAAAGCTCGCCAATTTTCCCCAGTTCATTCGCCCCGAATTTCCCGCGATCAGCAGTTAGGTCCCGGCTTCAGCTTAGTCGCAGCCTGATTGCCGAATCGGGCCCCGAAAACTAGCTCGGGGTGGGGTTCGGCAAACTGCCACCCGTTTCCTAGAATTACGGATAACTGCCAACCGAGTTTTGACAACTGCCACCCGCCATGAAAACTGCCACCCTTGTAAATATGACAACTGCCACCGGACTGATGCGTCTCGCGCGGCCGCGCGGTGCGAACGAAAACTTCCAAACGTGGAACGAAAACTTCCCTTCACACTTAAACAGGCTGAGGACTGTCTGTTGAAAAGCTTACTAGATAGAAACCATTTCTAGAAATTCAAATAAGAAATGAGTGATCATTTTCACTTAACTCACTTAACATCACAAGATCTTCTGTAGCTTTCCTCTTAATGTC